TGTGGGCAAGGTCCCAAGCTGAGGGCGTTCAAGAGACAACTGATAGATGTTTCTCTCACACATTGATGTTTCTCTCGTCTTGCTCCCTCCCTTCCCCCACTCTAAAATATAAATAAAATTAAAAAAATTAATACAGAAATAAATCCAAGGTCATAAGAATTTTTCCCTGTTGCCTTTAATTTTCTGCTCTTAATGTTTTGAGTTAATTTTTTAAATATTTTGTTAGGTAAGGACCCACCTTCCTTCATTTGCATGTGGATATCCAGTTTTCTGAGCACTGTTTGTTGATACACATGTCCTTTCCCCTATTGAATGGTTTTGGCACCCTTGTTTAAAATCATTTAACCACTTATATGAAGGTTTATTTCTGGGCTTTCTGTTCTGTTCCATTTGTCTATATATTTATTCTTATGCCAGTACCACATTGTTTTGATTATTGGAGCTTTGTAGTAAGTTTTGAAATGAGGAAATAGGAGAATGCCAACTCTGTTCTATATCAAGATTGTTTCGTTATTTAGTGTCCCTTGAAATTCCATATGAATTTTAAGATGGGCTTTTTAAAAAAAGTATATTTTTTGGATTATGCTATTACAGCTGTCCCTGTCCTTTACTCCCCTTCACACCCTGCTGCCTGTACCCCATTCCCACCAGCATTCCCCTCCTCTTAGTTCATGTCCATGGGTCATACATATAAGTTCTTTGGCTCCTCCTTTTTCTATACTGTTCTTAACCTCCTCCTATTTTGTACCTACCAATTATACTTCTTATTCCCTGTATCTTTTACCCCTTTCACAGCCTATTTCCCGACCACCTCCCACCCGTCCCTGCCACCCGCTGATCTTCCTCCATGTGATCTCCATTTCTGTGATTCTTTTCCTGTTCTAGTTGTTTGCTTAGTTTGTTTTTGTTTTTAGGTTCAGTGGTTGATAGTTGTGAGTTTGTTGTCATTCTATTGTTCCTAGTTTTGATCTTCTTTTTCTTAGGTAAGTCCCTTTAACATTTCATACAATAAGGGCTTGGTGATGATGAACTCCTTTAACTTGACCTTATCTGGGAAGCACTTTATCTGCCCGTCCATTGTGAATGATAGCTCTGCTGGATAAAGTAATCTTGGATGTAGGGCCTTGCTTTTCATGACTTTGAATACTTCTTTCCAGCCCCTTCTTGCCTGCAAGGTTTCTTTTGAGAAATCAGCTGATAGTCTTATGGGAACTCCCTTGTAGGTAACACCCTCCTTTTCTCTTGCTGCTTTTAAGATTCTCTCCTTATCTTTAATCTTGAGTAATTTAAATGTGTCTTGGAGTGTGCCTCTTTGGGTCCAACTTTTTTGGGACTCTCTGAGCTTCCTGGACTCGCATGTGTATTTCCTTTTCCAGATTGGGGAAGTTTTCCTTCATTATTTGTTCAAATAAGGTTTCAATTTCTTGCTCTTCTTCCTCTTCGTCTGGCACCCCTGTGATCTGGATGTTGGAACGTTTAAAGTTGTCCTGGAGGTTCCTCACCCTCTCCTCATTTTTTCGAATTCTTGTTTCCTCATTCTCTTCTGGTTGAATGTTTATTTCTTCCTTCTGTTTCAAATCAGTGATTTGAGTCCTGGTTTCCTTCCCTTCACTGATGTTTCCCTATATATTTTTCTTTATTTCAGTTTGTATAGGCTTTACTCCTTCCTTTATTTTGTGACCGTACTCAAACATTTCTGTGAGCATCCAGATTACCAGTGTTTTGAACTCTGCATCTGATAGGTTGGCCCTCTCCTTGTCACTTAGTTCTTTTTCTGGAGTTTTGATCTATTCTTTATTGGGCCATATTTCTTTGTCTTGGCTTACCTGTTATGTTGTAATGGACAGAGCAACCCACCTCGCTGTGTTGTGGCGCTGTATGTGCGGGAGGTGTCAGAAAGGGAACAATGCCGATTGCTTGGCTCTCACCCTGCTTTGAAGAGACTGGAATTTTCTCCCACCACTGCAACCCCTACAGGTTTTTACAGTCAAAGGTTCTAGGCTTTATTTTCCTTGCACGGGAACCCTGGGCTACCCAGTCTGTCTCGCTCCCCAGTTGTTCCCCTGGTTTATCTGCACCCAAATGTGGGACTGTCAGGTCTGCCAGCTGCTGCCTTGCTGTGTGTCTTCTTCATCCTGGCTGCCCATCTCTGCCCCTCCTACCAGTCTGGATGAATGCTGCTTCTTTAACTCCTTAGTTGTTGGACTCCCATAGAGTTCAATTTTCTGACAGTTCGTGTTGTTTTTTGTTTTTAAATCAGTTTCCTTCTTTTGGTTTTGTGAGGAGGCAAAGTGTATCTACCTGCACCTCCACCTTGGCTGGATCTCAAGATGGGCTTTTTCTTTTCTCTGGAAAACATTGTTGGGATTTTAACAGATCGCATTGAATCTGTACATCACTATGAGTAGTATTACCTTCTTAACAATAATAAATCTTATAATTTATGAACATGGAATGCTTTCCATTTTATATGTATGTTCATTAATTTCAGGAGTGTTTTGTTATTTTTGGTGTACAAGTATTTTAGCTCTCCAGCTATGTTTATTTCCAAGTATTCTTTTTTGTTTTTACAGTAAATGGATTTGTTTTCATAATTTTCTTTTCAGATTGTTCATTGTTAGTGTACAGAAGCACAACTGATTTTTAAAAATTTTTATTTATTGATTTTAGAGAGAGAGGGAGGGAGACAGGAAAAAAATAATCGATTTGTTATTCTGCTTATTTATGCATTCATTGGTCACTTCTTGGGTGTGCCCTGACCTGACCCAAGATTGAACCCCCAACTTTGGCCTATCAAGTGTATCAGGGTGATGCTCTAACCAAGTGAGCTACCTCATCAAGTCCTCAAACTATTTATTTATTTATTTATTTACTTACTTACTTATTTATTTTAGAGAGAGTGAGAGACCTTGATCTGTTGTTCCACTCATTTATACATTCATTGGTTTACTCCTGCGTGTGCCCAGGGATTGAACCCACAACATTGGCTTATTGGGACAGGGCTCCAGCTGACTGAATTACCTGCCCAGGGCTCACAATTGAGTTTGGATATTCATTTTATTACCTGTATTTTCGCTGAATTTGTTTATTCTTTTAATAAGTTTTTTGTGAATTTTTTAAGATATTCTGCTTTTAAGATTGTTATTTTTGAACAGAGATACCTTTATTTCTTCCTTTCCAATTTGGTTGCCTTTTATTTCTTTGTGTTGTCAAATTTCTCTGGCAAAAGTGGACATTCTTATTTTGTTCTTGATCTTAGGGGAAAAGCTGGGAAGGGGGTTTCATAAATGATCTTTTCATATTGAGATAGTTCCTTTCTATTGCTCAATTATTGAGTTGTTTAAATCATGAAATGGTGTTGAATTTTGTCAAATGCTTTTTCTGCATTGAGATTATTATGTTTTTCTTTATTCTGTTAATGTGCTATATTGTATTGTATATTTTCAACTATCCTTGCATTCTAGGGGTCAGTTTTCACTTTGTCATGAAGTGTAATTCCTTTCATGTGCTGCAGAATTTGGTTTACTGGTATTTAAGATTTTTGTATGTATAATCAAAAGGTATATTGTTATATAATTTTCCTGTAAGTTAATGTCCATTTCATCAAAGTTAATTTGTTGGCCTACAATTATTCATAATATTCTCATAATCCTTTTTATTTCTGTAAAATTGGTAGTATCCCCTCTTTTATGTCTGATTTTATTAGAGTCTTCTCTTTTTTCTTAGTCATTCTAGATAAAGGTTTGCCAATTTTCTTAATCTTTTTAAAGAACCAACTTCTAGTTTTGTTGATTTTTAAATTGGTTTTTCTATTCTTTTTTGTCTCTGCTCTAATCTTTATTGTTTTTGTTCATTTGCTATTGTTGTGTTTAGTTTCTTCTATTTCTAATTCCTTAATGTGTACAGTGAGGCTACTGATTTGAGATATTTCTTTTTTGATGTCTGCATCTACAGCTATAGATTTCCCTTTTAGTGCTGCTTTTGCTGCATTCCCTAAGTTTTGCTATGTAATGTTTTCATTTTCATTCATCTAAAGGTATTTTCTAATAAAGTTTTTAATATATTGATTTTATGGTTTTTGAGCTTAAATCTTTTTCTGGCCTTATTGTTGCATAAGAAAAATCTTATATCTTGCTTCATGTTTGTGCATATTTAAATTTTTATAATAAAAAAGCATTTAATCATCAGTGGGGGTCTGTGAGAATGCCCTGCTAAATTTACTGTGCATATGATTCAAGTTTTTTCCAAGATATTTATTGTCTATAGAATGGGCAAAAGCCTCAGTGAATAAGTGAATCTATGATGTAAAAGGCCCTGGATACACTATTTCTGGTGGTCCTTACCTTTACTGAAGATCTATGTTAAGAGGAGAGGGGTAGCTATGAGGCTGGCCTGCAAATCTGCTTAAAGGTTCTCCAGCTCTGATTCAGTGAATTGCTCTTCTTTAATTCTGTTTTGTTCCTTCCCTTCAAATTCCTCCCAATTTCTGCATCGTCATCTTCACAGTCCTCTCTCTAGCCAGTTTTTGGTGATCACACAGGTGTGTCCAGCCGGGCCACATGCATCCCAGAATGGCTATGAATGCGGCTCAACACAAAATCATAAATTTACTTAAAACATTGTGAGATTTTTTTTGTTGTTGTTATTACGTGTCACAGTGTATTTAATGTGTGGCCCAAGACAACTCTTCTTCTTCCAGTGTGGCCCAGAGACTCCAAAAAATTAGACACCCCTGAATTCTAAATATTGCATTTTATAGACTGGAAAAAGTTCAGCACTTCGGGCCAGTGATAGACATGAAGTAGCTAATTTTTCTGGACAAGTTGCAAGTCCTGCCTGTTCACTTGGCTTTTTGAGCATGTTCACCTTAGCCATGAGAAAAACTTGAGGCTCATAGCTTTTGATTAGACCACTTGGAGTGATCCAGGAGATTGGTTCTTTAGAAGGTATGCACCCATTTGATCACATGTGCTAATGCACATACCCCTCTCCCACTGCAGGTTTTCAAGAACCCCTGCGAGGTGGTGACTGTGCTGCTGATTCAGACCCTGGGGGATTTGACACCCTCTCTGCCCATGTGCCTTGCCTCCAGTGTCGAGCGGGCGGGGCCTGAGCTGGAGCTCCCCAAGCTGCTGGAGTTGTACGCCACCACCGCCCACTTTGCCAAGGGGCTGGAGATGGCACTGCTTCCCCACTCACGTAAACATATCTCTGTCTCTGGCTTGTCTTTACTCACTGTTGTTGAAGCTTTTGAGGTCTGGGTTGGTTTGCCTTTTCAGGTGCCTGATTTTACAGAAATGGAAGGTGTCGCTGTTCCCCTCAATGGATATGATAACCTTTTCTCTGAAAACATTACCATTATGGAAGTAGTCGCTGCTTAATATACTTACCTAACAGCAGTGCTGCCTTGGTGCTTTATACATTCTGGGGAAGAGATAGAACCTTCTGCAGGGCCTTAGAAGGTACAGAGGCAGGTAGACATTAGAGGCTGCCAGTTGGCCATGGTTACTTTGGGAACATAGTGTCCTCTTTTAAGTCATCATTTAACCTCAGGCAATTCAACCTGAAAGTTAAGTTCCAGAAAACAAATTGGTTAGAAGAACTTTTTGGTGTGGCAACAATTTTTGAGGATAAGGGTGCCGTGTCTGGACTGAAGATGGCCACAGGGAGAATGGGCATCCCACACCGCCACCTGAGAGCTGAGCACTCCTGGCCCCCATTTGGGCACATGATACCCTGGGGTCTGTGTTTCCCCAACTCTCCATCTGTGCTAAAAGCATCATCAGCTTCTAAGTAACACAGACCTCATGATGCATACTGCTGTCAGATCAGGAAATAGCTCCAGGAAGGTCTTGTTCTGCCATGAGTGGCTGCTGTGTCACCAGCTTAGCTTATTTACTAGTTATTCTTCTTAATTACACTTGCATATAATTACCTTGGACATTCCACGGAATATGTTTGTTGTTCAGGCTTCTGGTGATTCACAGGTGTTTTTGTCACACTCGGTGGTCAAGCCTTGGTTGTGGGAAAGGCACAGCGGCTATGGCAGCTTCCAGGGGATGGGGTGCCCTTCCAAGTGGCCAGAGGGTGTGGAGGCCATGCATCCTGTAAGAGCAGAGTGGGATGAAGGTGCTCCAGAGGCAGGTTACCTTCCTCTCCCTGACAGTATTAAAGAGTCAGATATACAAGTGCTTTGTTAGTCAGATATAGTGGTTAAGATTTTTAATGATTCCCATTGCTATAGTCAAAAAGGTGTTTTTTTAAAAAGATTTTATTTATTTATTTTCAGAGAGAGAAGAAGGGAGGGAGAAAGAGAGGGAGGAAAAACATTGATGTGCGAGAGGAACATCAATCTGTTGCCTCTCATGTGCCCCCAACCTGGGTCCTGGCCTGCAACCCAGGCATGTGCCCTGACAGGAAATTGAACTGGCAACCTTTTGGCTCACAGGCCAGCACCCAGTCCACTGAGCCACACCAGACAGGGGTCAAAAAAGTATTTTTTAAAATTTAAAAATACTTTGGAAACACTTAAAAAAATAAAAAAGAATAAAAATGAGCCTCATCACTTGGAGAGAGTCACTGCAACATTCTGTATTTCCTCCCAGTAATTCAAATATAAATACACATTTTTAATAAATACATATATATACTTTATATGTATACACATACATATGTACATATTTTAAAATACTGGTGTATACAATCTTATATTCTCTTTTTTGCTTAAAATAATAATGAGAATTTTGTGTGATTAAATGTTTAATGACCACTTTATCAGTTACTGTAATTTTTTGTCATTCTTGGAATAGTTTGTGTCAAAAGCAAGAAAGCACCTAAGGACTGGTAGGGACATATCAAAAAGATATAGGCGCCAATCTCAAGGAGCAACCACTGACCAGATTTGCAATAATTTTAACATTAAAATGAATAATAACAATAATGAATGAAAACACAAAACATAAAAAAGAATTTATGAGTTCACAGTGATATTAAAAAGAGAGAAAGAAAGGGAAATCTTTTCTTTACAAAAGAATACCAGAATATAGATGTAGCAGGAATGAGAAAATCAGGAAATCACCATTTATTGTCAGTAAAGTTAAAGTTTATTCAGGTAAAGATTATCAATTGATGTCAAAGTCACTGGGTATATGTTCAACTGAAAGTTGAATTGCTGTGTCATAAAATATGCCTGTCTAAATTTTTAAAATACTTTATTTATTGATTTCTAAGGCGAGGGGGAGAAAGAGAAAGCGAGAGAAAAATTGCTTTGCTGTTCCACTTATTTATGCATTCATTGGTTGTTTCTTGTATGTGCCCTGACAGGGGATCGAACCCATACCCTTGGCATATCGGGATGGTGCTCTAACCAACTGGGCCAGGGCCCGCCCATTTAAATTTTGATACAAAGTTTAAAATTTTTATGTCGTTGACTTTTGGGAATGCCTAGTGCGTGGGTATCCTGTTCCTATAAAGTCCTGGAAAACTGTTTTCCTGCAGAGCCTTTTTCTCTGTGTCAGTGCTTGAACTTGATTGATGAGTCATTATTTGAAGGGCTCCATTTTTTTTCTTTTTTACTTTAAGAAATATTTCATTTTTTAATTAGAGTATGAAGAGGTTCTTAACTACAATGGGTTGTGGGATATAGGGGCTGGGTGTCTTTAATAGTGCTTTTGACAAATAATATACAAAGTCCAAATGTATCAAGATATTGATGGAAGTGATTGTTACAGCTTCCATGAACAGTAAAAGCAGGCTAATGTAGTCACCCTGAGAGACATGGGAAAGCCCCAGTACCTGTCCCCTGCCGTTTTCCAGAACTAATTTCTGACTCTGTGTTCATTATTGCCTCTCATTTATGGTTCCCTAAAGATGAGCACAACCTGGCGAAAGTTGTGGAGCTGGTGAGCACCGTGTACAGTCCATACAAACCCTACCAGCTCAAGTACGGTGACATGGAAACCAGAAACCTCCTCATCCAGATCAGCATGGTGCCTCTGGTAATGTCTGACACCGCGCCTGGTCACTCAGTGGTCAGTTTGTCTGCTGAGCAGAGGGTTGGGATGATGTGCACCAGAGAAGGTGTGAGGTGGCCTCGGGTATGCATGGAGTGGGAACAGGTGTTCAAAACCCGGCTCTAAGGGCCTCGGGGGCCCTTGTGGACCAAATATAAAATGTGACCACAGATGTGCTCACAATTTTCTGCTTAAAATCACCAATAAAAGTCTAGCTGAATAAGTTTCCATCTGATGAGGATAAGTTGATTGTCTTCCTGATTTAATAATTTCTTTTTGGGGGACAGTCTTTTGTTTGAGACAGTTAAGCCAAGGAGCGCAGCAGCTGGGCACTTATGGACAGGGCTCCAGGAACAGGTCTGCCGTCCGGGTACTGGAGGGGAAGAGAATTCATGTCCAGGGCAGATGTTAAGCTTGTCTGGCATGAGGTGAGTTGACATGTAGGAATAGATCTTAGGGTAGTTAAATCTGCTGCCTGCACCATTGTTCTGTTTTCTAGGGATGCACCTAGAAAGTTTGTTTTGCTACAGTGATACACTTACCCCTGAAGGAGGCATTTTCTTTTCACCTCTTTCTTCTGGACTGTGATACAGAGAATTTGATTTCTGGCTTGGGAACTAGAGGAAGAGATGCCATCTTAATCACAGAAAAAGGGGAAAGAGATGAAAAATGGAGGGATCATTAGGATTTGATTATGCTTTTCTGCCAGGAGTTAGTTTCTGTGATCTCATTGGCCACTTAGACCATCCTCCTCTGGTTCAACCTCATGAAGAGCTGCCACAGTTGGGGACTGCATTTCTGATGTCCCTGTTAAGTGATTTTACCATGGATGAGGGGGCATGGAGGTCTCCTGTCTCTTTGTTGTCTGTTCATTTGTTCTCAGGTCTGAGGCGGCTTTTGTTTTGTCCTTATTTGCTGACCAGGAGCACGGGGAAGTCATTGACTGCGTGCAGGAGCTGAGCCACTCTGTGAGCAAGCTCTTCGGCCTGGCATCTGCAGCGGTTGACAGATGTGTCAGATTCACTAACGGCCTGGGGACATGCGGCCTGCTGACAGCCCTGAAGTCTCTCTTTGCCAAGTAAGGCTGGGGAGAGGAGACAGGGCCAGACACATGGGAGGGCAGTGTCTGTCCCAGTAAAAATGCCTGTGTCCCATATGCCTGCTTTGAACCCTGGAGAAGCTCTCTCCCCTGAGTCCAACGGGACCGTTCCTAAAGATGTTCATTGCAACACTGTGTGTAGTGCTAGAGCATTCAAGCTGCCTGACTGCCCATTAACTTCTTAATGGCTACAGGAGATACACTGTATTCACACAAGGGAACTCTATGTCGCACTTAAGGTAGTAATTCCATCTACACATACATATGAACATGGATAGATCTCAAAAACATTGTTGGGTTAATAAAAACTAGTTGCAGAGTGTGTGTGGGGGGGGTGTGTGTGTGTGTGTATCACCTCATACTTTATGTAAAAAAGAACATACAAAATATAGGGTATATTTTCTGTAACAGGGTAACAGGGTTTGGAAAGTGTCTTTTTGCAAAGGGCCAGATGGTAAGTATTTTTGGCTTTTGGGCTTTACGGTCAGTAGAGACCATTGTGGCACTCTCCTCAGTATCGTGCCTAGATGACACATTAAATGAATGGGTGTGGCTGTATTCTAGTACAACTTCATTTACAAAAAACAAGTGTTTTTTTCCTGTTCTGGATCTTTTTCAATACTTCAAAATGTTTTATATGTTCCTTTAAAGTAAAGGTTGGCAAACTCTAGCTCATGAGCGAAATCTGGCCTGCTGTTTTTGTAAATATAATTTTATTGGACACAACCATCTCTTTGACTTACCTATGGCCTGTGATTCCTTTGAGCTATGAAGGTAGAGTTGAGTAGTTAGGACAGAGACCTGTGACCCTGAAAACATAAAATATCTGGACCTTAACAGAAAGTTTGGAGTCCTGATGTGGAAGGTTAAGCAGCAAGTACAAAACATTAGTTATCTTTGGGGAGATAGGGAAGAAACAGTATGGTAGACATAGGGGATTTAGTTTTATTTTTTAGCTTCTGTTTTTATTTTTAATATATATACATTATTGATTATGCTATTACAGTTGTCCCATTGTTTTTACCTCCCCTTTATTCCCCTCCACCCTGTACCGCCCCCTCCCCCAGCATCCCCCCCCACCTTAGTTCATGTCCATGGGTTGTGCATATAAGTTCTTTGGCTTCGCCATTTCCTATATTATTCCTAACTTTCCCCAGCTTATTTTGTACCTACTAATTGTGCTGTTTATTCCCTGTATCTTTTCCCCCATTCTTCCCCTTCCCCCTCCCCTCTGTTTTACTGTTCATAGTTTTTGATCTTCTTCTTTTTCTTAGGTAAGTCCCTTTAACATTTCATATAATAAGGACTTGGTGGTGATGAACTCCTTTAACTTGACCTTCTCTGGGAAGCACTTTATCTGCCCTTCCATTCTAAATGATAGCTTTGCTGTAATCTTGGATGTAGGTCCTTTCTTTTCATGACTTTGAAAACTTCTTTCCAGTCTCTTACCTGCAAGGTTTCTTTTGAGAAATACACTAATAGTCTTATGGGAACTCCTTTGTAGCTAACTTTTAAGATTCTCTCCTTATCTTTAATCTTGGTAACTTAATTATGATGTGCCTTGGTGTGTGCTTCCTTGGGTCCAACTTCTTTGGGACTCTCTGAGCTTCCTGGATCTCCTGGAAGTCTATTTCCTTGGCCAGATTGGGGAAGTTCTCCTTCATTATTTTTTCAAATAAGTTTTCAATTTCTTGCTCCTCCTCTTCTCCTTCTGGCACCCCTATGATTTGGATGTTGGATTGTTTAAAGTTGTCCCAGAGGTTCCTCAGCCTCTCCTCATTTTTTTGAATTCTTGTTTCTTCATTCTGATCTGGTTGAATGTTTATCTCTTCTTTTTGCTCCCAATCGTTGATTTGAGTCCCGGGTTCCTTCCCTTTACTGTTGGTTCCCTGTATATTTCTCTTCATTTCACTTTGCATAGCCTTCCCATTTTTTTCCATTTTGCGACCATGCTCAACCAATTACGTGAACATCCAGGTTAACAGTGTTTTGAACTGTGTATCTGATAGGTTGGATATCTGTTCATCACTTGGAGCTTTGATCTGTTCTTCCATTTGGGCCATATTTCTTTGTCTCAGCGCACCTCTTATGTTGGAAGGGGCAGAGCATTAGATATTTGCCAGGATGGGGCAACCTAGGCTGCTGTGTTGTGACTGTGTTGTGACTGTGTCGTGACGCTGTCTGTGGGGGAGGGTTCTGAGAGGGAACAGTGTCACCTGCTCAGCTCTCAGCCAGCTTTCAGTCACTTTCCAGGCTACCCACAAGCAAATTGGGCTGATTTCCTTCTAGTGCTGATTTCCGCGTAGATGGGTTTGTGTGTGTTCTAGGCCACTGTGGGTCTCTCCAGCAGACTGTCCTGTGAGGCTGGGAGTTTCTCCTGCTACCGCAACCCCCACAGGTTTTTACGTCCAGAGGTTTGGAGGCTTTCTTTTCCTGTGCTGGAATCCTGGATTACATGGTCTGTCTCTCTCCCCACCTTTTCCTCCAGTTTATCTGCATGCAAATGTGGGACCCTCGAGTCCTCCAGCCTCTGCCTTGTGATGTGATCTCTCCACCCCAGCTGACTGTCTCCGCCCCTCTTACCAGTCTGGATGAATGTTTCTTCTTTAGTCCTTGGTTGTCAGACTTCCATACAGTTTGGTTTTCTGGGAGTTTTGGTTATTTTTTGTTTTTAAATTTGTTGTTGTCCTTCTTTTGTGTGAGGAGGCAAAGTATATCTACCTACGCCTCCATCTTGGCCGGTAATCAACTTATGTTTTTTTTTTAAGGAGCATAAATTCATGTATTCCTTATGTAATTAAAAATATAAAATAGAAAATATGTAAACATCATGCTAAGTGAAAGAAGCCAGTCACAAAAGATCATGTTACATAATTCCGTCTGTATGAAATGTCCAGCACAAATATATAGAGATGGAAAATAGAGTAGTGGTTGCCTAGGGTTGAGGATAGGGGAACATTTGGGGGAGATGGGAAATGACTACTAGAACTTAAGGGTTTTTAGGGAGTGGTGGTGAAAATGTTCTAAAGTTGTGGTGATGGTTGAACAATTTGTGACTACACTAAAAACCCCTGAATTGCACTTGTTAAGTGGGTGAATTGTGTGATATGTGAATTATTATCACAATAAAACTGTTAAAAGAAAGTAAGAAGGTGAAACTAAAACGAAGTTTAGTTAGGAAAAAGAAAGAAAGAAAGCAACACAAGGCTGGATTCTCTGATCTAGTAGTTGAGGTGGAAGGGTCCTCATGGGGTTAGAAGCTCCATTTTCTGGCTTGGAGACAAGTACATTCTCAGGCTCTCCAAGAGACCTTCCTTGGTAGCTTGTGGTAGAATGAAGTTGCTCCAAGTCTCAAGAAATTTCCCTTATTGGATTTAATTTTGTTTGCTATCAAAATTTTAGGGAGCTCTTGTCATTCCATAAATACTGAACACACCCCTGTGAGCTCTGAGGGTCCTTGGACCCAGTGTTCTCCATCACTCTGGGCAGTCAGTACCTACTGAGGGTGGCTAACAGTGCAGGCTAAAGTCCTGCTGAGGACACTTGTCCTGCTCACAGATGGACATGTGACCAGATGGGCCCAGAGATGCTCCTATAGAAAGAGAAGCATTGGTAACAAGTTTAATGAAGTAGAATTTGACCTCTTTCTTTGCCACCAGCTGGGATTTTATGCATGGAAAGAATTTTTCTAAGATCTGGAAATTTTATTGTAAAACAAAAAAAATGCCTTTAAAATAATTTAAAAAAATAAGAGCCCCAACCAGATTGCTTAGTTTAGAGTGTTGTCCCAATGCTCCTAGGTTGCAGGTTCGATTCCCTGTCAGGGCACATACAACAATCAACCCGTGAATGCATAAATAAGTGGAACAACAAATTGATGTTTCTCTCTCTACCTGCTTTCCATTTCCTCTAAAAATCAATAAATAAAATTTTTTTAAAAAATAAGAAAAGGTATTAAAAAATGGAAGTCTTTCTGCTGTCAGTCCTTCTCTTGAGTGACAAGTTGTGACCATTTTGCTCTTAGTCTTCTAATTCTGTTCCTCAGACTTTCAACAATTTTTATCAACTTTATTGTATCCTGACTCTCAACTCTGAAAGACAAGGAACTGAGCCAACTCAAGGCTAGTCCTCTCTTGTGCCCTGCTTCTTGTACCCATTGTTAGTTCTACTGTTGGTTATTTTGAATACTTTGTTTTTAAAAATAATACAAATCCGTGTTAGAAATTCAAACGGAAACCTAGTCACTTGCTCTTAGAAGGGGAGATTTTGAAGCTACCAAAACAGCTGATGTTTATAAAACTAGGGAAATCAGGGTGAAGCTAAGTAGTGCAGGGTTTGAATGGACATGGTTCAGTAGTGGAGTGGGCATTATGGGAAGTGGCATGTGGAGGGTGGAGCATGCAGCGGTGCAGGAGGAAACTGGCCTAAGTTGACCAGGGCGACGCTGCAGAATATATAGTAGCTGACAAGGTATTATAGAATTTGGGGTTTACAACTGTGACAGAAGTGTGGGCTCTGGAGCTGGGGTCATCTGGACTCAGATCTGGGCCCTGACACTTACTGGTCGGGACCTTGGGTAGGTTAGTAGCGTGCCTCTGGGAGTCTGGGTGTCTTTTTCTCTGAGTGATCTGATGATGATAATGTCCCCTTTCCTGGTGGTTGTGGCTGTTAGGGAAAGTTTGCAGTAAGAGTCTTTAAGGCAGTGGCTCTCACTTGGTAGAGACACGTGGAAATGTTAATTGTGAGAGAATGGGGAGACTTGGGGACAGATGTGATGCACATTGTGGTTAACTCCCCTTCCTCCAATGCTTTGGGGGGCCCACTCACCATCCCCAGGACTCTGTCATATGAATGTCTGCAGAGCCACATGTGTTGTTGGATAGCATATTCCTTTTTTTGTTGTTAAATTTATTGATTTTAGAGAGAGAGGAGAAGAAGGGGAGAGAGAGACAGACACATTGATTTGTTGCTCTACTTCTTTATGCATTTATTGGTTGATTCTTGTATGTGCCCTGACCGGATAGCAAACCAGCATCCTTGGTGTATTGAGATGATGCTCTAACCAATAGAGCTACCCCGCCAGGGCTGGATGGCATATTCTTACATGTATTTGTCAGACTTGCAGGGTGGTGACACAGTTGTGCAGCCTCCTACAGCTAAAGCACAGTTGTGTTTTTCAACATTCCTTTGTCACTTTGTCATTGAGTCCTTCGGTCTTCCCCCAAGGACTGATTCCCCAAGAAAGCTCTCACCTTTGTGCCAAGCGAAGGTACTCTCCAGGGAGCCTTGGTTTCGGAGCTTTCCACGTTGAAGCTTGAGGCCTTTGTAGAGGGAGCAGCAGTGTAACTGTCATTAGTAGGTGGGTCTGAAGCAGTTTCTGCCACTTGGCTTTTTAACTGCACTTTCTTTCCAGCATACAAATGTGCTCTTTAGGCTGTGCCTGGGTCATTACATGCCACTCTCCTCACTTAGAGCCTATGGTTTAGGAGACAAGAGAAGCACAACTTCCTGTGTTGCACACAAATGCCATAGGTTTTCAGGGAGCCTCTTGGCTTCCAGAGAACATGATGCCTCAGCTTTGTCCTCCCCAGCACACCCTTCCAAGGTCTTGTACTCATTTGTCCATGTTCCAAGAACTGAACCACCTTAAAATCAATATCCCTCACATCAGTTTTCATTTAACACTTTTCAGAGAACCTCTATGTATATTATTTCATTTATTTTAACATCATAACAACTCCATGAGGCAATACAGAAGAATGCATTAAGTCTGTTTTTAAAAACTTTCAACAAAACACTTTGTTGTAATTCTTTTTGAAATTTTATTGTTTATTGGGGTGACATTAGTTAAAATTATATAGGTTTCAAGTATATAATTCTATAATATGTCATCTGAATATTGCATTGTGTGTTCACTACCCAAAAAATCTCCTCACCATATATTTGCCATTCAAGTAATTTAATTAACTCAGTAATTATATTTTATTAGTTTACTTTCTCTGCAGGTATATTTTAGAACTATAAAAACATGAGGAGAGTAAGGTATCATATTTGTTTAAAATACTTTATGACTTTGATACTACCACTTTAGCTCCTTTGACTTCATTATTATTATTATTTAGACTAAAAATTTTCTAAATCTGTATTTATTTTGGGGGGGTACTTTGTGGTAACAGTCTTGGGTAACATAATGGAAAACAGTTGATACTATATTGTGAGATCCAGGGTTTGGGAAGGCTGAAAGTATGAGACCATTGTAAGAAATGGGGTGATCCTGACAAATGAGATAGCAAGAGCAAACAAGCCTGTTGAGGTTCTGGAGATCTCTCTGGGGATGATGATTAAGTCCATTTTTAAAGATGAGGAAACTGAGGCTCAGAGACACCTAGTACTTGCCCAAGCCTGCAGTCAAGTCTTCATTCATTCAGGACCTATTTCTGGTGTCTCCTTTATGCCAGCCCTGTGGTCTTCCTGGGGATATGATGATAAGCTTCAATGAGACAGTCCCTGTTCTCCCAGAGCCTCTAGTCTAACAATAGCAGTAAACATAAAACACATTCATTAAATAAACTGTTTGACTATAGTTATGTTAGGTGCTGTGAAGGGAAGTATGGGGTGTGCAATGGGAATAAACAGCACAGTCTGTGAGGAAGAGAGTTTTCAACTTTGAATCCAGTTTCATTGTGCCATTGAAGTCAGGCTCTTGCCTGTCATGGAGATTGGTTGTGTAATCCAAATTTGGGGGATTAGAATGCAGCAAAAGTTTCCTGGACATCAGTGAACTGCCTTACAGCATCCCAGGTCACAGTTGGGTATTACAGTGGGACCATGATGGTTGAAAAAAGAACTGCATCTGTTAGGACAAGGGAATACTCTACCTGCAACATTTCTCACCTGGCTGGTCACCAGAGTTGTGGTCTTCACAGCTGTCCCCTTCCCTCATCTTGAGCATCTCTTAAAACTTCTGTCAGGTGAGAAGACTTTTGTGGTCAGAGGTTTATGAGGAGTCTCACCTTTGGGTAAGGAGTCTCTAAAGACACTGCCAAGGTCATTAGCGCGTTGTTCAGCAGACTATGATTCCAGGAGTCTTTAGGTCTGAGTTTATGGCTATAGCCCTGTCACTTTTTGTTCCTTTCCCCACAGGTATGTGTCTGATTTCACCAGCACTCTCCACTCCATACGGAAGAAGTGCAAGCTGGATGACATTCCTCCCAACTCCCTTTTTCAAGAAGATTGGACAGCCTTTCAGAACTCCATTAGGTGAAGTGGGACTTGTAATTTAAGCATGTACCTCCTGCAGTCAGTGTTGATATGCACAGCGTAGTATATAAAATGACAAATGTGTCTGTAAGGGATCACTTTTTTCTCTTTTACCATCTTTTTTTTTTTTTAAGCAAATACTCTAGACTCTAAAAACAAGCCCATGAACAAAAACTGAACACAACAAACACGAAAAAGACTCCTGTTGCTTTTAAAATATTTTTACAAGTTCTTTATGAAATCTTCATCTCTTACGATGACTTAAAATTTTTATATTTGGTTTGAGTTTTTCCTCCCTCTTAGCCTGTAGATTTTACAGACCTTAAATAACTTAGAGCTTATATTGTAGAAAATGCATAGCTGATGAGATCCTGTTTCTGGATCTGAGTGCCATAGTACTAGATGCTAAGACGTTGCTGTCTGGACTGCAAAGAGACGTGTTAAGAGTTTTGTGAAAGGCATTGAGGTGACCCTCGCAAGTGGTCGTTTACAGCCTGATCCTGGAGCAGCCTGTGTGATCTGTGGGGTGAAAAGTAGACACCTGTTGCCCCAGTGGCCTGAGAAGTTTGGCCCTTGATATGTCCAGCCAGAGAGTGCAGACTGCTGGCCTGTGGCCAGACCTAACCTGTGGACATGTTTTGTTTGATCACAGCACTTAAAAAAATTTTTGTGTTAGTTGCTAACATTTAAAAACCTGATTTAACATAATCCAGATTTCTCACATCACTTAAAAACTGAAAGCTCTGGAAACACCAGGCCCACATTGTCCCAAGCACATGACCTACTGGCAGTGGTAGCCAAAGTCCTCTTAGACCAGGCATAGGTTTTGTGCTGTGCTGTGGTTCTCCCACTCCCAGGTGGCTTAATAACTATACCATTAGGCTGAGATAAAAAGCAGTCTAGAAATTTCTTTTTCCTAAAACTATTCTTCTTGGATATACATCCTGAGAAGAGAAGCTGTACTTTTCCCCAGTTGCATTTTGTGCCTGACCTGTATGCAGGGTGCCTATGGCACATGTAGTTCTCAGCGCAGACCTCAGAAGGCTCTTGAATCTTGGTGGATTTAGGACCTCACAGGACCATTTATTATCCCCTCATGGGCTCTGATATAGGCTTGAAATTTTTGGATGAAATTTAGTGTTCTAGATTCTGCTTGTACCCACTGTCATCTGTGGTGGCTTGGAATACCAGAAAATATTGTGCACAGGTTGTTCCATTGTCCCTGAAGCGAGTGGAATAGTTTACTTTCTCATAAACTTTTTATGATGGAATGCCTAGATACCCTGGTGATGACAGGCACTTTTAGAGAAAGTTAAAAGTTAACTAGACTTAAGATGTTTTTAATCCTTGGATTTGTCCTTACGTTATAGTTTGGTGTTGAAGGACTCAGGAGCTGGAGTTTGAGGCCTAGCATAAAATTACTTGAAAATTAAGATTGTTAAATACAGATCTGATGATCATTCAGGCTTATCTCTGAGAAACAAGTGGATTAGTCTCCATCTGCCTTTCATGTGATCAGAGAGAGAATTTTCTATTATCAAGATAGTTTTCTCTTCTATGTCTGGCAAATGGCAGGCATCTAACAAACATTAAATAATGAATTTTGGCTTTTAAATTTTAGATACAAAGTATTTCCAGCCCATTTTCTCAAGGACAAAGCCCAGAAGCACCTGAGTAGTTTGAAAATGTAAAATTAGTTGAGATCATACTGGGTAGAACTGTGATTCATAGCAGAGAGGCCTGTGACTTGAGAATATTAGAAGGGATTATCATTTACCTTTTAGATTAATTACTAATTAATGAAACATTTCAGGTAGGCTGTCAAGTGGTTAACTGCTTTCCCAGAACCCAGCACACCACCAAAGGAGTGAATAGTTAGAATTTTTATGAATGAGACAATGTTTGCGCTGTAAATGTTGGCATTCCAGATACTTGAACTTGAAGTGCTTTTTGTTTTGTTTAGGATAATAGCTACCTGCGGAGAGCTCTTGAGACAATGTGGGGACTTCGAGCAGCAGCTGGCAAACAGGTAGGAGAGAGCTGGGAGTGAGACCATGGGCTCTTTTTGGGGAAGAGCTTGAGATAGCATACAGCGCACAGCAGTCAGCAACAACAGCTTGTGGTCAAACGTGAAGCCAGAGTTCAACGACTGTCTGTACTTAGATACAAGGCATCATTATTGTCATTATTAAACATTTATTGAGCACCTAAAGGGCAAGGCTCTGACCTTCTTGGCAGTGGTCACATAATTTTGGTTAGATTTGCCTCAGCCTAAATGAGGCCCCAAATTATGAATGGGCTTCCACTGCTGGTTTGTTAGTCAATTATTGGGACTAAAATCAATTTCCCTGTAGAAATGGTGTTCATAAGTGGTGGTGAGTCCCCTGGCCAGCCTACCACATCAGAATTCACCCAGCTAGCCTGCCTTCTGGGTTCTGCAGCAGAATTCTGTGCTGTCCAACAGAAGCATGTCAATGGAGGATTTCTGGGGTTGGCCTAGGAAAAGTCCCTTTTGCCCCCTTTCTCTATTCTGATACTTTCCAGAGCCTTTTGTTACCCCAGTGTACCATTCAGGCTAGTTTTCCCCACAAAGTGCTCCAGCCCCCAAATTTCTTTCTTTTTTTCGTTCAGCTAAATCTCTCATTTCCCTTGGCATAGCTGATCTCTCTTTTCTTCAGGAGTTTGGGGAAGAAGTCTGTTCCGTACAGTTCTGTGAGGCCTAGAAGCAGTCCGCTCTTCTCTCTCAGATAATTCATTATCCTAAAGCGGCAATTTTCAATCTTTTTTATCTCATTGCACACAAAAACTAATTGCTACAACTCTGCAGCACACCAAAAAATATATATGTTTTTTGCTGATCTGACAAACAAATAGGTATGATTTTGATTCATTCATACCAGACAGCTACTGTGTTGGCTGTTGTCATTTTTTAATTTGATGATCTAAGGGAAAGGAGGTCAGTGGCTCTGACTAAATAGTCAGGTATTGCATGTTTTAAAAATTCTTGGGGCATACCGGTTGAAAATAACTGTTGTAAAGTAATCTCTGTGGGCAGGAATTTTTGGTAGTGGTACCAGGTAAAGTGGAAGCTGAGGCCACGAGGGAGGAGGACTTGCAGAGGAAGGAGGTCAGACTGGCCACAGAGGCAGTGCCCTGAACTGGCTGTTTTTGTTTTTGAGCCCATGGATTGTCTTCCAATCCCAAGACTTTCCCTGATGGTTCTTGTGTGGGACAAGTTGTACAGTGGGGTAGGATGGGCAGCCATTGTTTTCATAACTCCTGCCTTGCCCAGCACAGAGATAATGCCACTTCCTAAATGAAGACAACTCAGCACCACAGACATATGGTGCATGTGTGTAAATAACATAAATGGTGAAGTAAACCCCCCATGTACACGCACTGTGCTCACATGTGCACATGAACACATAGCTGAAGGAGCTGTGGATGAAATCGTAAGTAGTCTGCATTTACAGAGGACCCTAAAAAGGTGCGAAAATCTAACAAGTATTTAAAAGAAGGGCATACAGCTTATTATTTTTTTAAATACAGTAGTAATTACAGCTTGGTTCTAGCTCATTGCAAAAATTAGTTCACAAGTATACAAAATAAAAACCGAAAATATACTCACCCTAAAAATTCTTTTTTCCAGAAGAAACATTGTTAACAGGAAACCCCCCTGCTCCACCCCTACCCCCAAGACCTTTATTTAGCTCTAACATTAAGGAGTTTACATGAATTAACTCACTAATATTCTCAGGGGCCAAAGGGGTAGGTACTATTCTTTCCCCATTTTTACAAATGAAGAGACATTGAGGCATAGAATTTGGCACAGGTAGTAACTTTTCAAGTAAATTATTTATGGAAATAGCTGTGTCTGAGGTGACACCACTATGAGGCAGTGATTTGAACTTGGACATCAGCTAAGTCATCCAGAGTGTGTGAACATCACCCCCACGCTGCCCTTCCTCACAGATTAGTGTCTGCCGTTAGACTGCAGTTTCTATCTCTCTCTCTCTCTCTCTCTCTCAGACATCTTCTATATCAGAACATACAATTTTCCTTAATCTTTTAATGAAGGTGAATAATACATTCTAAAGGGTAGGGAAGGCTCTGGTTAGGGAGAAGAATGGAGCCATGATAGATAAAGGATGAGCCCTGAGAGGTGAAAGCCTCACCTGAGTTTTTGGTGTGAGACGAGAACAGATGTCATTTTGGAAGCACTGAACCTGGAAGGGGAAAAAAGTGACAGTCCTCATCTGTGTTCCTGTCAGGGAGGCCATGTGTGTGGCAGCACCTGTAAAGCTTGTCTTACCTCCCTACTAGTTTTACTGAGGAACTCAGACTTGTAACAAGGATGCCTCCCCTGAGTGCAGTGGCAGTTGCTGGAAACACTAATTTACTTCACGGATGAGAGTGGCATTGGGTCTTGGCTGTTGAGATCACCTCCTTGAAGAAGAAGGTCATTTTGTGATTTATGGGTTGAGGAAAGCCAGGGCCAAGTTGGGTGTCACCTGAGGGATTTCTCTTTTTAAAAAATTTTATCTTTTTGTTTTTTTGTTTTTTTAGGGAAAAAAGTTCTGCAAACCTTTAATCAATAAATGGATAAAGAATGCCAAAAAGTCATTTAAAGCTTTTTTTTTTTAAATAATAGAAATAAGCAAGAAATACACAAAAACAGGTTTAGTTTCAACAAATAATAAAGTAACAATGAAAATAACATCATTGTCACAATCAGATTGATACATATTAAAAATATTGGTAATATCAAGTATTGGCAACTCTGAAAGGAACTGGGTATTCATAACTCTTTTTCTTCATGTTAAAGCAGTGCCTTTAGCATATTTTGCAGTGCTGGTTTGGTGGAGGTGTATTCTTTTAGCTTTCTTTTGTCTGCAAAACTCCGTATTTTGCCTTCCATTTTAATTGAGAGCCTTGCTGGGTAGAGCAGTCTTGGTTGCAGACCTTTGCTTTTCATGACTTGGGATATTTCTTGCCACTCCCTTCTGGCTTGCAGTGTTTCTGTTGAGAAGTGAGCTGCTAGTCATCTCAGGGCCCCCTTGTATGTACTGCCTGTTTCTCCCTTGCTGCCTTTGGGATTCTCTCTTTGTCTTTGATGTTTCCATTTTAATTATGTGGTGTCTTGGAGTGGGCCTCACTGGGTTCCTCTTGCATGGGACCCTCTGTGCATCCCGGACTGTGTGTCTTTTTCTCTCCTCCAATTAGGGAAGTTTTCCATCATTACTTTTTCAGACAGGTTCTCTGTCCCTTCGTCATCCTCTTCTCCTTCTGGTATCCCTATTATATGGATATTATTACGTTTCAGGTTTTCCTGCATTTCCCTGAATGCCTCTTCATTCTTTTTGAGTCTTTTTTCATTTTCTTGCTCTTTCTGGGAGCTCTTTTCTACCTTGTCCTCCAGCTCACTGATTCGGTCATCAGTTTCATCAAAACTGCTCTTGATTCCTTCTACTGTGTTCTTCAATTCAGAAATGATATTCTTCATTTCCTCTTGCCTCCGGTTGATAGTTTCTATGTCCTTTTCCATGCTGATATACTTCGCAGTAAGTTCCTTGTAGTTTTCCTGTAGTTTTTGGTAATTCTCTCTGAGCTCACTAAGTTCATTGAGCTTTTTTAGAACCATTATTTTGAACTCAATATCTGATAGTTTACCTGCCTCTGTTTCATTTAGTTTTCTTTCTGGGGATTCCTCTTTTCCCTTCGAGTGAGGCATATTTCTTTGTCTTCCCATTATTTGTGAGACTCTTCTTTTTTGCTTTTGCTTCTTAAAGTGATCTGTCCTGACTTCCTGACTTTGTGGTCGGAATTTCTATGGTCAGAGACCGCTGTTTTTACTTTCTGGATCTGCCTCTGCTGATGTCAGATGTCATCCCTGTCTGACCTTAGGTAGTCTGTTTGAGACTTCCAGGGATCTACTGTCTGTGGCTGCCTCCTTCAGCTGTTAATTTAGTCACTCTGAACTCTTCAGGCTGCTTTAGACAGCTCAGGGTAAGGCAGAGTCCCTCCTAGGGGCGGGGTTATTGGGTCCTCTCACACTGCTGCCGTATTGGGGAGAAGTCTGCACTGGGATCCCGCCGGCTACTCTCTCTGTTCTCTCCCACAAGCCTCTGTCCCCAGTCTCTCCTCCAGTGTCTCTAGAACTCTCTGGGCCCCCGTTAGCCAGGGATCTACTGTCTGTGGCTGCCACTCTGCAATTAGCAGGTGTCTTAGCACAGGGTAGGGTTTAATCCCCCCAAATTTTATCTTTCAGTTGCAGTTTACATCCAATATTATTTTGTATTTGTTTCAGGGGTATAGCATAGTGGTTAGACAATCATCCACTTTGCAGAGTAGTCCCCTGATATTTCAAGTACCCACCTGGCACCATACATAGTTATTATAGTATTATTGCCTACATTCCCTATGCTGTGCTTTACATCCCTGTGACTGTTCTGTAACTGCCAGTTTATACTTCTTAATCCCCTCACTTTTTTCACCCATCTCGCCAACCCCTCTCCCTCTGACAGCTGTCAATCTCTTCTCTATCTGTGAGTCTGTTTCTGTTTAGTTTGTTCATTTATTTTGTTCTTTAGATTCCACACATGAGCGAAATCATATGGTACTTGCCTTTTCTGTCTGATTTATTTCACTTAGCATAATGCCCTTTTGGACCATCCATGTTGTCTCAAATGGTAAGGTTTCATCCTTTTTATGGCCAAGTAATGTTTCATTGTATATACATGTACCGCAGGTGTTTCATTCTACTCGTCTATTGATGGGCACTTGGTTTGCTTCCAAAACCTCTGAGGGATTTCTCTTACATTAGACAGAGTAGGTGGGAGTACATGGAGGTTGCCCTGGTGCCTCTTATACTTGCGTGGTGCCCACCACTTCTTTTTGGAACAGTGGTGTTTTCACCAGGGTAAGGTGTTAGGACAATTTAATAGAATATGGCTTTGGGGAATCTAATATAAACTTACAAGTTTACACCACTGAGGAATAGGTAACAACTTTTCATGAAAAGATAGTGAACCAAGGAAACAGATGGAATTAATATTAGTCCCACATGGGTACATGCTAGACTTCCCCATTAATCCCTGAGCTTAAGGGCAATGATTGTGTTCTGTCATCTGATATTCCCAAAACCTAGCTCAGAGCCCACTACAGTTCTAAGAAAATTTCCTTTGATAAACAAGGAAATCCAGTATTCATTTCATGGCTTAGTTCACAGTACTAGTAGCATAGAACAGGAAATCCGATTCTAATAATTAGATAGATCATCTAATGGTCTCTGTCTGGATGAGGGGCTTGGGAAAAGATGCCATGAGTTGCTTGGGCTTGGAGCTATATTTATACATTTTAAAATATTAGATTTGGTTTTTATTGTAGAGTACAACTGTTCTGACATTTCAAACTGTACTCTGTAACACTTGACTTCGGATGGCATGTTGAGGCCAGTTTCCCCCAACTGACTGAGGCTGACGCATACTATAGTATCCCTGCTTCCCAGAGGGCAACCTCCTGTTCACCAAACCCAGGCTCACCTAGCGTTCAAAAGATAATCACTGAGCACCTGCCATATGGCAGGCACTGTGCCAGGTGCTGGGAACTGAGATGAAGAACACTGTTTTATCCTCACTTTCTAGTGTGAGAGAAATGAGACATGATGATAAATGCCATAAGGGAAGTGAGAGGTTGGTGGGCGCAGAGGACTGAGTGCCTTGGACCTGCGGAGGTAGGGGGAGGGTTGTCAGGAAGGACATGGCAGCAGAGAAGCCCTTGGGACCTGGGCTTGAAGAAGGAGCGGGATTTCCCCAAGTGCACACTTGGGGGCAAGCATTTAAGGTTGAGGGGTGTGAGCACGTCATGCACATATGGGAAGCACAGAGTGTGGGGTTGGGGGGTTGGGACAGTTGCCATGCCTAGGATACAAGGGCTCCAGAGATGGAAGGCCCTGTATGCCCTGTGTAGGCATATTTAGATTTATCCTGGGGGCACTGAGGGATCTTTGGGAGAAAGACAAAATCAGATTTGTCTTTTGGAAAGATCATTCTGTTAACCCATAGGAGGACAGAGTAAGTGGAACATGGAAGGACTAGAGGAAGGGAAGGCTGCTGAGGTCCAGATGAGGAACAGTGATGACCTGGAAGTGAGGCAACAGTAGGGATGGCTGCAGCTGGGCAGATAAGGACCCAACCAAAATCACTGTTAGGCCTAAGCAGCAGGGAAAACTGTAATTTGATCTTAATGGCAGAGGCAGGTGGCTGCTTGCATTGACAACATATCCTCAGGAAGGGCCTGTCCCCAGGATTTGTGTCTCAAGTATGGACATTCATTCCTTGACAACTCACAGGATTTTTGTGGGAAAGTAGTGAGTGCAACCTGAAAGCTGCCATGTTCAAAGCACTGTTTTTCGTAAGAAATTATGAAAAGGAGGGGTCAGGGAATATGGCAACATCTATTCTTCTGGTTGCATGTGTTTGTATCATTCTCTACCCATTTAAGTGTAGACTGGAGGGTAAAGTTGGGCTAAGGAAAAACCAAGTGGAGGATTTTCAGCATCTTTGAGGGGAGGCCATCCTTGCTGGAGACAGATCCAGCTTCCCCAGCAGCACTAGAGGTTGATCACCACATATAACCTCCTTGAGGTGATTTTCTTTCTCAGAGAAATTGCAAAGGGCCAGCTTCTCTAAACAGATATCTCTGTAGCACCTAAAGCACAAAAGTAAACTTCACAAAGTCAATGAGCACAAGCCCACACAAGTCCAGTGTGTGATAGTCCTATGTATGGAGGCATGCAGCCAGCTGTTGTCAGTGCTCTACAGGAACCAGCTGTCCCACTGCCCTGTCTAGCATCCCTGTGACTCAGGTGCTGGGTATCATGGCTTTGATTATGACAAACAGTGATGCTTATATCACAAGGATGGTCTACATAGAAAGTGCACAGTACTCCAGACTGCAGTAAAGTGACAGCGGCCCTGTGGGCTGTATATCATATTAGGAAGACGGCGTACTCTGGAAGAGTGAGTGTTAAATAGGAAATAACAACACCTTGTGTCTGTTGCACACCTGAGGGCCTGCTCACTTTTAAATGGGGAAGGACGTCTTCATTTCCTTATAAAATGGACCCTAAGTCCTCTGGGATATGCAGGAATTGAGTAAGGAGCAATCTGAATGCTTCAGGAAGAGAGTTCCACATAAATAGCTTGGGGTATAAAGCTAACCACTGTCATTGCAGGATTTTGTCCACAGCTGGGAAGTATCTGTCTGACTCCTATAGCCCTCGGAGCCTGACAGGGTTTCAGGACAGCATCTTGACAGACAAGAAGAGCTCTACCAAGAACCCATGGCAAGAATATAATTACCTCCAGAAAGATAACCCTGCTGAATACACCAGCTTAATGGAAGTACTTTATACCCTCAAGGTATGAGACCAAATGATGGCATTCTTGCCAGTGGATGCTTTCCTTTGTCACTCACTCTTTCCTTATCCAGGTTTTCTGGCCCTCTGGGCCCTGGGCCATGGCCTGTCCTGCTGCCACTTCTCTGTCTCATTAGTGTTGTGGTTTTAAGGGACTAATCAACTAGACTGGGTTGGAACCAATTGCAATGTAGATGTAGGAGTCAGTTAAATGGAGCATCATTAGTGACAAAAGGTGGGTTGGAGAATGTGGCTTAGATCTGCAGCCAAATGAGCTTGCTCTACTTCCCTCCAGAGTTAAACCTGTCACCAGGCCCTGGCCCCCATGCAGGGACAGTCCCCTTTTACTGAATGGAAGAGGGGACCAGAACGTGTATTGCCTGCCAGTGAGCAGAGCCAGGAAGGTGGATCCCAGCCCAGCAGTGGGAAAAGATGTGCCTCTTTCCCAGGGAGGAGAAAGCTGGAGAGGACTAGGCTGCCCCTGCAGTGCAAGTTCCTACCAGAGGCAACTTGACCTGGGGACAAGTGTGCTATCTTAGCTATTCCTTTAGAGTCTTAGTTTCTCTTCCACAAAGCTACCCTTTATTTTGAGCTTAAACCTTGGGGTTCAGGGATAGAAGGACCTTTCAAGAAATGGAATGAGTCACACGGCTTCCTGAGAGTGGCCCCCAGGTTCCAAGAGGGCCACAGGTATCCTTCCCAGAATCATCCTCACACCCTCTGGTCTGGTTTGAGGCTCATCTCTTGGTGATAGGCAGAGGAGACATTGCTCTCACAGCACTGAACACAATCTGGAATCTGGCTCAAGCTCTGGGGGGATGGCAGTGTGCTTTTGGACCTGTCTGTAGGTTCAGTTTCACCCTCACAGGGCCTCCCCTATTCCTCTGCACCGTGACCCACCAAATGACTGCATTTGAGCTTAACAAACCCTTGTTAAAGCAGTTCCACAAGTTCACTCACCCATGCTTCTGTGATTAGAGCAAAGCAGTTCTGTTTATCTTTATTGCTTATCTGATTTATTTCTGTTTGTTGTAATCAGTTCATTTATAATAGCAAAACTAAGGTTCCATTTTCCACCTCTCCATTTTCTCAGGCTGTTTGGAATTCCTGGGCTCACACGGGTTATGCACACTCTGGCATACAGCCCAATGTAATTGACTTGATCTCGCTGGGGATCAGGGCTTTGTCCATCACTCTTGTCTGTACATGACACCTATGATTGGTTTTCCTGTTCTTTTACTCCTGAGGGGCAGTCACAAGTCAGTTTTTCCTAAACTGCCAACCCACGAGCTTACTTTAGCTCAAATGCATCAGAATCACCTGGGAAAGTGAATTAAAAATAAAGATTCCTGAGCTCCAGCGTCCTGCTGGATTCCAATTCAGGAGTTCTAGGGTGGAGCCTGTGGATCAGATATTCAGCATGTGCCCCAGGGGTCCTGTTTTGGGAACCACTATTGTCTAGAACGTCCCCCCCACCCCCGCCACTGTTTTCCCCTCAGTGACTTTTCAAATTGTGTAACTAGCCAATCACCTGGGTTGGATTAAGAGCCTAACAAACTGCCTTTTGCATTTTCTTGTCTTAGGAAAAAGGGTCAAGCAACCACAACCTGCTCTCTGGGTCCCAAGCAGCCCTGACTCGGCTTAACCAGCAGGCTCACCAGCTGGCCTTTGACTCTGTCTTCCTGCGTATCAAACAGCAGCTGCTGCTCCTTCCCAAGATGGAAGTAAGTTTCCTACAGCCCTGCCTCCTTCCCAGCAGTGTTCTCGCTATTCCTCCCCCTCGTGACCTCCCCGCCTCCCGCAAAGCCAGCAGTTCCATTGCACAGGGGCACTGTCCCTTGCAGTTCATTGCTTAGCAAGAATTCCTTATCTTAATTACAGTTACTGTGATGCTGTATTTTCAGGATCTTTCTTGGAATTATTACTAATGCTTGATTAACTTCAGCCATCAGGAGCAGCATAGCTGTGCCCTCCAAGGGGGAAGTAAGGGAGATTTCATGCCATAGGGTGGATTGGGACAAGTCAGAGAAGCTCATTGTCTTGTGAAATTGTTTCCATGTAGCAGCCATTTCTAGAGAATCTGTTCTGGAAGTTTACTTGTGAGAGTGCCTTCCCAGATTTGATCTGGGGTTTTGGAGGGGGGGTTGGAAGGGTTCTACTGTATTCTGTCCTTGAAAGCCTTTTTACTTGGCTTTTCCTAAAGTGCCTCACTTTCCTTTCCTTGCATCTCTTCTCTTTCTGGTTGTCCTGATTCCTTTTCAAGGAATTGCCCACCAGGCATATATTCTCTGCTGGCCCAGTCTCCCTTGTCCTGATCTCATCACTTTCCTTTTGGATTCTTGGGACTGTCCCCAGGTTAATCTTTCTCACTGTCTCCTCGAGTTTATTGGGATTTGGCTTTTCCTAAAGATAGTCTTGTGGGAAAAATATAGTTATGGGGCTTTAATAACCAGGAGATCCTTTGGGGAAGAAACAAGAATGAGTTTGGTGTAATTACAAGTTGTTTTCTGCTGCCTCCCTGGAACCATAGCAGGTCCGGCATCAGGGGCTACCTACTGTTCACAGTGGACCTTGGTCAATCTCAACCCTTCTCTGCATCTCAGTCTCCATCTATAAAATGACCTGGTTGAACTACATGATTTCTAGGTTCTTTCTACCCCTGCAAGTCTGTGATTTTCATAGTCTAATGACTTTTCATGCAAAATACCATGATGTCTACTCCAACCAGATCGTGGATTTCTAGTGTGGTTGGGGGTGGGCTAAGTTTGGAGGAGAGTCACTGATGTCCCAGTGCTGCTCCTGGGCACCACCTGTATGTGGTTTTGGATCACTCAGCTGAGGCTGCTACTTCCTCTGTGACGTCATCTCCTCATCTTTAAAATGGGGACACAGTAATTCTCACAATAGATATGTGAGGATTAAATAAGATTTTGTATATGATAGAATTTAGCACAATGGCTGCTGAAGTAGTAGATGCCTCATAAGGGGTGGTTTTCTTTCTATCTCTGGTCCTCATTTTTTAAGATGAATGAGAATTAAAAAAGTAAAACATATATATATATATTCATTTTCAGAAATCAAGCAATGTAGGCAAGTATGAAGGAAAAAGCAATAAATCCCTTCAGAATGCCACCATGTAGAATAAGCGGTGTGAACATTTGTTTGTTCACCCAGACTTCTGTCCTTGCCCGCTCACATGTTGAAGTCTGGATGGGCACCACAGGAAGAAGGTGCAGTTGTACGGCACAGGCTGTTTTAAAAAAAAACAACAACAAAAGAAACCTAAACCATATAAATATGGTTTAACATATAAATATTTTTTGAATTTAACTAGAAAAAGAAGATAAATGAAGCCAAAGGAATGGTTGAACTTGAGATACTAGTGTCTTCATTGCAAGAAATTAGTTCCCTGATCTCTCCAATGTTAAGAAAGATTGTGGAAGTTATTAGAGATTGGAGTCATTGTCTTTGCCGATCATGCTTCCATTCTGTGTGTGTGTGTGTGTGTGTGTGTGTGTGTGTGTGTGTGTGTGTGTGTGTGTGTGTGTGTGTGTGTTTTAAGTCCTCACCCAAGGAAATGCTTATTGATTTTTAGAGAGAGGGAAGGGAGGGAGGGAAGAAAGATGGAGAGATACATCGATTGATTGTCTCTCTCATATGTGTGCCGACTGGGGGACCAAACCCACAACTAAGGCATGTGCCCTGATAGGGAACTGAACCTGTGACCTTTTGGTTTACAGGGCAGCGCTCCAGCCAGCTGGTCAGGGCTTTAGATAGATGTTGACACTGGTTCATCTGCCCTGAGAAGTGAGGAGATCATCATGCTCACAGGTCTTGTCTCCCCTCCTTACCTTGAGCTTTGGTTCCTTTCATTATTTTCATTTAGTCAGAGATCAAAATATTGACCATCTTTTCTGAAATCTTAACTCTCCTGGTCTTAGTTCTACATGGAGCCAGGTGTGGTGCTCCCACCTGTCCTCACCTCCACTTCTGCATTCCCAAATCATTATTATGATTTGGTTTTCGATCGCCTCATTCTGGCTTTCTCATTCAGGCTTCAGCACAGCCTGTGGGGATGGAGGTAGCAGCTCTGCAGGTGGGGGTGTTCTCTGCCAGTGCCAGCACGGAAGCACAGCACAAAGGCAAACACTCAGTCTTAGGATTTGAAAATTAAGCCCTGGTCATTAAATGTTTGTTTTTAATGTTTGCTCATCAATTGTGCCACCCTTTTACTTTACCGGAATATACACTCACACTCTATTGCATTTCAAGATAGATTATTGAAGTTCACCTGTATTACCTGGTGAAAGATGGATGGAAAAGCCCATTTGAAGGAAACTTTAAATAAGTTTTGAACAATTGAAAAATAATCTACAACATTTCCCCGGTGCCCTTTTCAAGTCTACCTTCTCTGCCTGCTATTTATTTATTTATTAATTTATTTATTAGAACAACTCAGCAAAATGAAATTCCAGCTTATTGTTGGACAACATTGTTTCACACATAACGTCAAACAGGCCAAAATATAAGTAAGTAAACAGCAACTTCATAGACAAAAAAAGGAAAAAGAAGAACCTTTTTTCTTTGGCCTTTTTAATCATCTCATACAAACCAACTACTTACAGTACAACTGAGTACATACACAGAAAATTACTGGAATACTCAGAATAAGATAGCTATTTTTGTTATTTTTGCTTTTTTCTACAAGGTATTTTTTCCGCCATTGAGATTATAATGGACATGTCACATGAACAAAGTGAGAAGTAGGACAGAGAATGCTCCAAAGGCTGGTTTGGTCATCCCGAGATCATTAAAAATGGCTGCTCCCTAACAATACGTACGAAAATATAAAACATAAATAAAAAATACAAGCATATTTTCCTTTTTAAAGTACTTTTAAGAAAAAAAAGCAGGGCCTTGGAAGTTTTGGTTTCCTGCTCCCCTGCTGTAAATTCATGTTGTCGTTTTGGTTGAGTGGTGGAGCGCACATGTCACCCGTGGGTGATGCTGCCCATGGTGTGCGGGTGGGCGGGCAGGCAGGACTCTGCTGGACGGTGACCGTGTTTAGATTCTGAGATGAGAAGTGGAGAATGAATAGGTCATGGTGGCCTTTTTTCAAAGTTTAACTTTTCCTTTTTCGCTGTCTCATCATCATTGGTCTTCTGCTTCATGGTGTCAACATCATCATCCTTATCATCTTCAGCTGCCTGTTTGCCTGTAGGTGCCCCAGCCTCCTCATCTTCATGTCTACCCTCATCTTCACCACCTCCATCCTCTTCTCCCTCATCCCCTCCTTCTTCCTCTTCATCTTCATTGTCAGACTCCTGCTCCCCATTTTCCTCATTAGTGTTCCCCTTAGCTGGTGTATCTCTTCCATTCTCTGCCACCTCCACAGCTTCCTTCTTCTTCTTCTTCTTCTTCAAGTCCTTGGTGGTGACCTCTGAGCTGGTATCCATGGCCATGTCTGACATGGTGGGGCACACCAGTGACCCTATGAAGCAGATTAAAAAAAAAAAACAAAAGGAGTTTGAGGATTCTAGTGAAAAAGCCGCCAGAGTCTGCGGAAGCTGAGGAAGAAGCTTTGGCAGAGCTGGCTGCGGCGAGGGGAGAGGCAGACACAGGAACAATGCCAAGATGGCTTTTCAGAGTAGCCAGTGGACTTTCTGTCTGCTTTTTAAGCCCTTCCTAATTCAGTGTGCTCTTTCGGGCCCTAATTCCAAACTACTTTTCTCTCCTCCACCTGATCACCTTCTGACATTGCTCTTCCTTCTTCCTCTGAGAAGCCTTTCTCTGGGCCTCCCATCCATGGTGCTGGTCCTTTCAATGCATGCCTGTGACACTGGTCTTTCCTGACAACCAGTCCTTGGTTCCATCCTGCCCTGTGGTGCTGCTCCTGCCCACCCTCTGTGTCCCTCTCTGCCAATGACTTTATCACCAAGCTGTCATTGTTCCTTCTTTTTAAATATGGCTCCCATCTGTTTCCATGGCCACTGCCCTAGTCCAGGTTCTCATGGTTTCTAAAATGTTTCTTGAGCTTTCCATCTGCCTCCCATCCTCAATCCTCCTCAGAGTTTACTGTGTTAATCTTCACAAAGTATTGCTCTAATTTTATCTCTCCCCACTCAAAATCACCTTAATCATGCTTCCCAGGGCCCGTATGATAGTCTATTTAAACATTTTTTTATTATGGAAATTTTCACACATATGCAAGAATAGAGAAGAGGACAATAAACTCCATGTCCTCATCACCCTGCTTCAACATGACCAACTCTAGCCATCCTAATTCATATACTCGTATACCTCTTATCTAAAATAGAACTCCTATTCCTTGATATCATTTAACTAGAAAAAGAAGATAAATGGAACCAAAGTGTTCAAATTTCCTATTGTCTTATAAATGTCATAATTTAACTGTTTGAATCAGGATTCAGATTAGTTCTGTGCATTGGAATTGGTTGATAACTCTCTTAAGTCTCTTTTGTACTCTTGGTCCCCTTTCATATCTACCAAGTCTGTCTGTCTGTCTCTGTTTCTCTCTCTTCCTTCACCCCCTTTGCAATTTATTTTTCGAAGGTGATGCCTTTTCTTAGCCTGGTGTTCAAAGCCTTCTCTCTATACTTCATGTGTCCTTCAGCTGGCCCTTTGTCTAATTACTCTGAGCTCTTGCTTCTCTGAACATTTATTGCATCTGCCTCTGAGACCTCCTGAAGTCGAAGCTTGCATGTATGTGTGTGGGTGGGAGGGGGGGCAATTTCTTTGTCTCTTCTCTAAAAAGCCTAGCACATCATGGGCATTTGATCTATGTGGGGTGGGAGTTAACTGAAAAAAGTAGGACATTTTGAAACAAAAGAGGATTTATAGCAAGAACAAGGAGTTTACAAAATAGTAGGGGCAGGGGTGGGGAAGAAAAGGACTTGTCTAAGAGCAAAGAAAATTAGGCAGAATCACGTTGTGCTAGAGAGCGTGGGAGGGGTGGCTGAGGCTTAGCCTGGGTCGGAGCCCAGCGATGGACATGGTCATTGCCTTCCCAGAACACTACTTAAAGGGTCAGGCATCCAGGTCGGGCATCAGGGCACAGCTACAGCAAGACCTCGGGAGTTACTCCAGGAGTCCACCCAGAAAGGGCCTTGTTTTCCAGGCTGGCCTTAGGGTGACTCAGGTTGGAATTAAGAAATTAGATTTACGTGTGAAGGTATGCCAAGCTGAACTCTGTAACTATGTGTGTGCCGGCAGTTTGCCTAACTATAGAGAATGTGGGGAGGCTCGCAGTGACATTGGAGACGTTCCTACTTGAAAGGATGAAAAGAGACATAGTGCTGAGTGTCTCCCCAGACAGAGGGCTCACAAAGGGGCAACTGGGGGGCAGGGTGGAGACTGCCTCCCTTCCTGCGCCCTCTGAGTTCTGAACCAGTTGAGAAATGGATCCAGAAGGTAGGTAGAAATGAAAGCAGTAGCTTCAACTTTTTAGTAAAGTGGTCTCACTGAGTGTGGTTTGGGTATTCCTACAGCCAGAAAGGGCTTCCCCACACCTCCCTCCCAATATTAGGGGTTACGTGTGGTGTCTGGCAGAGTTTGGGGTGTCCTAGCCTTTGCAGAGTGCTGGAGACACAGGAGTTAGTGAGGCTACCTGCGCCCAACAACTTTTTGCCTGTTGTCCCTACCCAGTAAAAAAAACTTGGAGTAGAGGAATCCAGTTCTTCATTTCCTGTTCTGAGGGAGAAACCGAGGGCTTGACTCCACAGAATATTTCAGTGGACAAGGTGGGAGTCCTCTTTTGTGGATCTGCAGGAATGTAGACAGAGTTCGTTCTTCTATGTGGGGCTTCAGGGTGATGGTTTAAAGAAGAGAAGTCCCTAGTCTGCTAGCTCTGAGCAGACAATGCCTATGGGAACTCCACCTTTCTGTGGCACTCTCCTCTGCTGCCTGGTGCTCTACGTTGACCCCTCCTCTCTTTCCTCCCCCAGAGCTGGAGCACAGCAGGCATTGGAGAAACCCTGACAGACGCCCTGCCCACCTTCAGCCTCACTCCTCTTGAGTACATCAGCAATGTAAGAGCTGCCTTGCGCTTCCATCCTGGTGGTCACGGCCTTTCAGGCCTCGCTGTGGGTTTTGATTCTAGGTCCTCTGGGCAAAGTTGTCATTACCCCAGCAGTGCTGTCAGACCTCTCCTTTTGCATGGTCTCCATCCCATGTTCAGGCCTTTAAGGAAATGCAGCCAAGTTCCTTAAATCAGCAGGAGGAGCATGCTAATTTCAGAATCTGACAACCTGCTACCCTTCCCCCACCTTCCTAATATGAGGTGCAGCTGGTACCTGAAAGCATCAGAGCATGAGCCCAGTACGACATTCTGATTTGGGAAGAGTGGATCAATTTTCAGGACGTGTGTGTGTATGTAGGTCTGAATTCAAAGTAAGCAAACTTTTTCTTTTTTAATCCTCACCTGAGCACATTTTTTCATTGCTTTCAGAGAGAGAAGAAAGGGGTTAGGGAAAAAGAGAGAAAGAGAGAAAAATATCCACTGGTTGCCCTCTTGTACACACCCCAACTGGAAATTGAAAAGTGATGATGTTTTATTTTGAGTAAAACTGGGTCTGTGCCTTTAGCCAAAGATGTGGCTACCAATGAAAGGTATACCAAGTACAGGAATATTCCTGGGGTCTATGCACACAGTAGGTGTTCAGGAAGTGCTTGCTGAGTGGAATTCAGTGCTTCCTGAAGGGAACATTCCCAGCCCCAGATATCAGCACCCTCTCTTCCTCTGACCTTGTGGAAAAAAGAATCTGTTGCCATTTTCAAGCAGAAATGTACAGTGATTATTCCTGAGGTAAGTGGCTACTTGTCTGGTTTGAGTGAAAAATTGTACTAAGTAAATGAAAGGGGAAGATTGTGTACTTCTTTAAAGGGAGCCCAAACTATCTTTTTTTTTTTTTTTGGATCAACATGATGGACCATAGGACATTTAGACTTACTACAGCCAGACACATGAAATGTCTGGGAACAAGGATGTAATCATTGTGTAGTCCTCTGGACTGGGTAGATTTTGGAGTCTGTGTAGACTTCCAGACGCTGTACTTTCAGGGGGATCTGCCACTGGGTAGGAACCTATGAGGCTATAGGCCAAGTGGCCTCAGACCTTTAGCTTTCAGAGTTTCTATCAACTCTGAAGTTGAGGTGAATGTCTGAAATGAATATGGAGCCAAAAAAAGCAACAGTGGGTTCACAGACTTTTTAAAAAAAATACAGATTATGTTGTCATAACCTGGAAATAAACCTTACTATTTTGTACTTACCCTAAAACACAAAACAGTTCTGAGCTGTAACGAAATGGGTGTCTGAAATACACTCATGATGATACATGTTTCTGACAAACATGTGACAAACACTGTATTTGTGGCTTGTCCGAAGGTCTTAAAATCGTACTTTTTTGATTTTCCATTGGCCAAGAAGGTTTTGTGTTTATTTCCTAGAGTTTGTATTAAGAAAACAATGTAGTTTTCCCTCCAAATTAACTTATAATTACAAATGGCTTTTTTCCCCCAACCAAAATATCTTCCTTCACCTGGCTAAATCACCAGAAAGGAGAGACCAAGATCCAAATCCAGAAGACAGAATTTGCTTGGCCATGTACTTGTGGACATACATAGCTTCTTACTGGTTTTTGTCTGTGGCCAACAATAACTTGTAGTTAACACAAGTTCTGTAAACTGTACAGAGTACTTCGGTATCTATTACCTCATTTGAGGTAGACCTTGTGTTGAATGCCTTCCAAAAGTAGTGAGCCCATCAGTGAGAAGGATGAATTTTTGCTCTACTTGCAAACCACCACTGATGTTTTTTTTAAGGTGTTGCCATAACCAGTATTAGTACACGTGCTGGAAAACTCAGACATGGGGCTGCCCCAGGTGTAGCAATTTGTCTGTCATTTGCTGTTACACAAGTGCTGGTTATATTTCATGAAACTACCTGTGTGCATCAGTGTTGGGCTGAAGTGCTTTCTTTTGTTTCAGATTGGGCAGTATATCATGTCCCTTCCCCTGAACCTGGAGCCATTTGTGACTCAGGAGGACTCTGCCTTAGAGCTGGCATTGCATGCAGGAAAGCTGCCGTTTCCTCCCGAGCAAGGTGAGAGTGACGTGCTGGAAGGGGAGTGGTGGCTTTAAAGTGTAATACACACTCCTAGCACCCTGACCCTCATCACACATAGCTTTCCGAAAGTCCCACAGCTAAGTGTAAAATAGTGACTGATACGCTGGTGGGTGTGGCTCAGTGGATGGAGCACTGGCCTTTGAACCAAAAGGTCGCCGGTTCAATTCCCAGTCAGGGCACATGCCTGGCTTGTGGGCCAGGTTCCAAGTTGGGGGTATGTGAGAGGCAACTGCACATTGATGTTTTTCTCTCCCTTTCTTTCTCACTCCCTTCCCCTCTCTGTAAAAATAAATAAATTTAAAAGATTTTAAAAAAGTAATGACTGAGAAAGATTGGGGTATGCAAAATAATACATGTAGTATTACTTATGTTTTGAAAAAACCCAACACTCTGTATTTCCACATGTGCATAGGCATGTAAAAGCCTGGAAGACAGGTCTGAAAGCATTTATGCTGGTATCAGTGGGGGGAGTGGGAAGAAAGGTATGAAGGATGCTTACATTTTACTCTGTATTTCTGTATTGCCTGGAATGTTTTGTAAGAATATTTTTCTCTATTGTATGTAAAAAATATATGTACACCAAACTTCTTAAGTTTAAAAAAATTTTTTCACAGAAATTTTCACACACACGTGTGTGCACACATGTAGTAGGATTAGTGTGAAACCCCAGACACTCATCATCTGGCTTCAAGAATGGCTTCTGGTTTCATATATTCCATCACATTCTTTGCTAGAGTATTTAAATCAAACCCCAGTCGTCACCCTATTTCACCCATAAATATTTCGTTTATGTGTCTCTTATTGGTAAGGGTTAAATTCAGGTTCAAATTCTTCGGCAAAAAGATGTGGTGCTGTAGTTATCGTGTGTTGCCTCAGACCTGGAAGCATATAACATCTCGCTGTCCCTACAAACAGGTATATGTAGGTTAATGAGCATGTAATTGTTTTCATTCACTCACTCAGTTTGGAAACGTTTATTAATCGTTTGCTGTGTGAGAGGCACTTCGTTGGGCATAAACTCCAGCTATAAAGTAAGATTGTTACAACAGTCAAAAACATCACTACCACCAGAAGCCAATCTGTATATTTATATCCTTGTTTTTTCTCTCTCTATACTTTTTATTATGAAGATTTCCAACCATATAGAAAAGAATCACACAGTGAACATGTGTATATAATCTGAGGATTTCTAGCATTTTAACAAAGCAAGTTTTCAGAGCCAGATGGTGAACAGCCAGTGGGAACTTTCTGGCTTACTTAGGTAAATGGCTTTTTCTAAACAGTGTGATAAGTAGAAGGGAGTTTTAAGTCTTTGTGAGTCTTATTCCCATGAGGAAATTGAACTTTGGGAATCTTGAAGTGGCGTTTGGGAGGGTCACATGTGAATGGTGGATTCTGGAGGCTCATGTGCAGGCCAGCTCCTGTCTCTGCTCTGCATGCCCTCTTCCCTCATCCCCCTACCACATGTGGGCTGCACTCCCGCGGAGGTGCCGCCGCTGCCCTGGATTTGTGATTCTGGGTTGAGGATGAACGTGCTGCCTGGTGTGGGGCTGGGCTCTGTGGAGGATCTCCTGCTCTCCAGGACCCGGGTTATGGTCTGGATGGTCAGGCTCCAGGTGGGTCATCTCATGGGCAGGTGCAGTCTTTCCAGTGAGCTGCTGTACGTGTGGCTGGACCATTCCCAAAGTCCAGTGCAAAGGCACAAATGTTGGTGAGCCCAGTTTTCCATCTGCCTGGCCTTTTAACACCCTCCTTAACATTTCTTTTCTCTCCTTCATTGTCTGTTTTGCTTCCATTTCCTGGTTCTTTTTTATCCCCCAGTCCTTAAAAACATATATATTTTATTTTATTTATTTTTAGAGAGAGGGGAAGGGAAGGAGAAAGAGGGAGAGAAACCTCCATCGGCTGCCTCTTGCACGTCCCCAACCGGGGACCAGGCCACAACCCAGGCATGTGCCCTCACTGGGAATTGAACTGGCGACCTTTTGCTTTATGGGATGACACTTGACCAACTGAGCCACACCGGTTAGGGCCCATTTCCTGTTTCTTGTTCTCATCCTCTGATTCATGAGTCTTGCCTGCTTGAAAACCTTGGTGGCCCCTAGAACCTAGAACAAAAAATCCAAACCTCTCTCTGGTCTGACATTGGGGACCCTTCTTAGTCTGTCCAGTAAGTACTCGTGGCCTCATTTCCTCTCTTGTGTCTTGGGCCCCCACATGGTCATGCTCCAACCACTCAGAAGGACGTTTTTCTTAATTTTTTAAAAATAATTTTTCTGATTAACTGTCTGCTGCCCTGAGCTGGTGAAGGGGACATATGAGAGACTGTTGTCCCGCATGCCTTTCTCTTCATGTGAGATAAACAGGGCCATCTCACACGTGCTCTGTGCACTGAGGGTACTGTTTAGAACAATTCTTGTGCTTTCTGCCCGGATGCTATTTTTCCTTATGTGCATTTGGCCAACCGACCATCTGTCCAAGGGAAGCACCGATACTTGCTCCCGGTTTGGGGCTCTGGTGTCTCTGAGTGTGCCTTGCTGCACTGCTGATGTTGCTGTGTTGAGGGCCTTTCTCCCTTGGCCAGACAGGGCATGAAAGGGCAGGGTCACCCAGCATAAGCACCCAGAGCAGTATCGAACCCATTGGGGACTCCTTTTCTAAGCCCTCATTATCCTTAGTTCATACCGGTTGACCCAAGATGTAATTGTTCTGTTCCCTGTGTCTCCCACAGAGACTAGTAAGCACCTTGGCGTGCTTATGCATAGAGTACCTGCCGTGTGCCAGCTTACCCAGAAGGACTCCATGAAAGCTATTGGTGATGGGCTTTTCCTGAGCAGGTTCTGTGGTTTTTGGTGACTGTCTCCCTTTGCAGGGGATGAATTATCTGAGCTGGACAACATGGCTGACAACTGGCTGGGCTCGATCGCCAGAGCCACGATGCAGACCTACTGTGACGTGATCCTGCAGATCCCTGAGCTTACCCCGCACTCCACCAAGCAGCTGGCCACAGACATCGGTGGGTACCCTGGGACAGGCGCTAGGAGGGACAGCCCTGGCCCATGGTGACTGCCAGTCCCTTTCCTCTAAGAGTCTCCTCCTAGGTCTCCTCCGAATGTCAACTTTGGATTTGGCTCTGAGGCTTGTTAAAATGCAGATGATTCTCCAGGCCTTGCCCCCAGAGTTTCTGAATTAATAAGTCTGGGTTGAAACCCAGTCATCTGTATTTTGGAAAGTGTCTCAGGGTATTCTGAAAGGCTGCTGAGGCTGAGAACATTAAGGGAAGTTTCAGTGAGGTGAGAAATGACTGATGCAGACTTGTGTTATGCTGCCTTGCCCGGCCTGGCCTGCTCCTTTTGTATAACAGTCTCCCAAACTAATATTGGTTAAGCTCTTTCTATGCACCAGGTATGCCAGGTGCTGAGCCAAGCACTTACACCCTTTGCCTTATGCAATCTTCAAACTCTCCTATAAGGTCGCTGCTCTTGCCTCCATCATGCTGATAAGAAACAGAGGCACAAAGCGGTTGTGTAATGAGGCCACCTGGAATCCTAGAATACCTGCCTGCCTCCCAGGGCAGAGAGGCATGTGCCCACCTGCTCCTGCTGGCACTCATCTGTGGAAGTGGTGCTCTGAGGCTGGGTGCTGTGGGCAGGTGGCCAGGAATGTCCTCTGTCTCTTGGTATCATTCCACTGACTCACCTGTGGCAGCTCTTGGGGTGCTCAGGGGACAGGGTGGAGGGGGTCTTAAAGATCAGCTCCTTGGGGACCCAACAGAGCTCTGACCTGGATGTCCCCAGGGCCAGGCCAAGCCTCTTCTTTTGCTGAAGAAGAAATAGAAATGAGAACCTTTCCTCTGGGCCCCAGAGCAGTTAGTGGTGGAGCCAGACCTGGAACCCAGCCTCCCTGGTCCCCTGAGCAGTGTGTACTTGGTAGTGAGCTCTCAGCAGTCACAAAGGGGTAGCAGCTTTGTGTCATTTCACTGGGCATGTGGTCAGAGAAGAGAGATGAGATTCCTGGGCTCCTTGGTGTTCCCTGTCAGTACAGCAGGAGCACTGAACAGAAAACTGGCCAGAACTAGGGAGCCAAGTGAGATGTGGGCCTGCCCCTACATTTCAGTTGCTCACAATTTTTCTCCGTCCCTGTTAAGCTTCCTCCTGATCCATCCATTTCTCCTTAAGTGTTGACTGAGCATCTGCTATGTTCTGGCCTCAGTGCTAGGAAATGGAATGTAGACAGTTTCTGTGCTACTGCATTTATATGTGGGGAGTGTGCTTGTGCTTAGGGGCTGGGAAGAGACGGCCGAGGTGTGAAGCTCAAGCTGTAGCACGATAGAGATGGGTGAGGTCTGTGGCAGTGTATTGCTCCTTAAAGACATTCAAATTCAATGTTAACAGAAATCTCAAACCATTCTGCTGCCCAAACACAAAATGTTATGGTGGGCCATGGGCTTCTAATTTGCAGCTTCTGGCTTGCAGGCAAGTGGAGCTCAGTTTTATGGTTAAGCTTGTGCAGGAGGCAGGTGCCTGATGAATGGTGGCGCCCTTTCTGGGAAGCAGCTTCCCCTGAGTTGGGTCAGAGAAGAAAATACAGGGAAGCTGCAGGACATGACTGGAGCTCTGGTCTGCCTGGGAGAAGAGATTAACCTGGGCAGAAATTAGAAAGCAAGGAGGGACCTTCTGGGTGCTGCTGTCTTCTAGACCTTTCAAACAGGAATGAGGTGGAATGCTCCCTTAGGTTTGTTGTTGCCCAGGAAGGAGGAAGGAAAGGCAGCGCCCATTGATCTGTCACCTACAGCACCTCAAGTGCCTTCATGGCCTTTGTCTTAACACTCAGCCTGGTGGGTGTTAGGTGCATTAGCAGATGGGAGTGGGGACACAGAGAGGCTGACGGACTTCCCCAAGGTCTCCCTGTCCTTAGATCCTGGTCTCCTTTACTCTGCTAGTGTTGCCCAAGCTGCCAGGTACGCAAGCGTTCTGGGACCCTCTCAGAGAATCTGATCAATGTGGTCTGAAGGTGGGCTCAGGGATCTGTTGTTAACTAGTATTCCGGCGGGTCATCTGGGAAGTGTGGGAACCTGCACTGTATTAGGCCCCCCACCACTCCCAGCATTGACCTTGTCTTCGTGGTGGAGGTTCTACTGGGAAGACTTTGATAACTGCTGTGATGAGCTTATTGATCTGTAGAACCCAAGGGAACAGTGCAGCTGACTGGGGAGCGGGGCTGAGAACCCAGGAGTCCCCAGTGGGAGCTTCTGGATGTTGCTGGTCCTTTATTAGGTTGGAATTCCTGGACTGGGTTCGAACTCACATTCAGGTCTGACCCTCTTGGGAAAAACCTCAGAGTAAAGGCCGCCTGCTGAGGACAGAGTGGCATACATGGCATTTGGAGCTTGGGGTAGCATCCCCGTTTCTTACTTAGTGGAGGTCTTGTGGGTCCTGTCCTGCCTGGTGCTGAGTCTATCTGTCCCCCTCCCCACAGACTACCTGATAAATGTGATGGATGCCCTGGGCCTGCAGCCCTCCCGGGCCCTCCAGAACGTTGGGACGCTCCTGAAGACCAAGCCTGAGGACTACAGACAGGTCAGCAAAGGCCTGCCCCGGCGCCTCGCCACCACAGTGGCCGCCATGCGGAGTGTGGACTGCTGACTCCACACCTGGCCAAGAGGCGGGCCAGGCTGGGCTTCTGGGGTCACGGAGGCTCTCTAGAATGGCTTCGCTCTAAAACTGCCCAGGATTGGGCAGAATCGGCTTTAAAGACTTTCATTTGTAATTTCAAAAAAAAAATAGTTGTAAATTAGAGGTATATTATTTATCAGGGAGGAATTTTCAGATGATTTTTTAAAATGATGCAGTCTTGAAAATGGAATTATTAAATACAGTGAAATGCAAGAATGTTGTTTTCTTTCCTCTTTCCTTAGTGAATGTTTGGGTCCTTGCTCTGCACCATGCTCTATGCACTGGGGATGCTGTCAATGAGAAAGGGAAGGAGGGAGAATCAGCAGGTAACCGGCAAAGATAACTTGAGATCTCAGGGAACTAGAGGGCATCAGGGCAGAAGGCAGCCTGGGGTAAGATGGGTGGGCAACCCTGAGACCTAAAGGATAAGAGACACAGTGAAGAAAGTGACAGCAGGAGTGTTCAGGTAGAAGGAACAGTGCAGACCCAGCCTGGGGCACATCCACAGCCAGCAGGGGGAAGCAGGAAGTGAAGTGGGGTCAGAGAGGAAGAGGAGCTGGTCACAGAGGGTCCTGTGGGCAGTTGTGAGTGTGAGGACTTTGTTTTTCCTTTTCCTTTTTTTAAAGCTCATAGATGGTGCAGATTCTGTCTTTTTTTGCCTATAGCTTCTGTATCTGTTAAAGAGTATACTTGGCTACAACAGAGTAATGTAGTTTGAGCAATTTAAACAAATAGGAGTTGACTTTTTTCAGTAATAAGATATCAAATGGTGGCAGCCTTGGACACTGATTCAGTGTCTGGATGACCATTACCAGCCTCTCTGTAACCAGGATATTTCCCACAGAGCAGCTCCTGCAACTACCAGGGCGCGGCTGAGTGATTCTGTCCCTTCCACTATGGAGGCAGAAGTCTTCCTAGAAGCGCTGCCAACTTTCTTCCAGGCCTCATTGACCATTTGCTTGGTCACCAGGTGTTCCCCCAACTGCAACCGAGTTTGGGTAGGTGGGGACAGGACAGGCTCCCTGAGGGTTTCCGACCTTGGCACTAGCAATGTTTGGGCTGGACAGCTCTTTGTCATGAGGGCTGGCCTGTGCACAGTAGATGTTTACAACACCCCTGGCCTCCCCCGAATAGGTGCTGGAGGTATTCCCCTACTTGTGACAGCCAGCAAGTCTGCAGATACTGCCCAAGGACCAAAATCACCTCCAGTAGAGAAACCCTGGCTTAGACCACTCAGGGTTTATTGCTTGGGCTGGCTGTTACATCCCTGAACAGGCTGGGTTTTGTTAGTGAAGGAGAGGGGAGGGCAGCGGTGTCTTGCAGGGTCTTGTTGGAACTGGATGTGTGCTGTGCTCACAGGACTGTGCACCTTTCCTTCTCTCACCTACGCCTTCCAACAGCCTTGGAGGCAGGAAATATGGTCCCCATTCTACACACAAAGGAACTGAGGTTTGGAGAAGTCTAGGGGACTTGCCTGGAGTCACTCAGCTACCACATGGCAGGGTTGGGGTTGCAGCAAGCCTGGCGACTGACACCTGCGCTCCTAACCGACGGGGGGGAGGCACACAGCAAGGCACCGAATCCCAGCGGGGACATCTTGCTTGTCTCTTGAGTGGCTCTGGCCAGTCCAGGGCCTCTCAGGGACTAGCCCCACCAGGGGGCCAGGATAGCATCTCACTGGGTTGCCCAAGGGTTCTGGCACATTCTGTTCTTGTAGCCTTGGAACCAGTTTACTGGTGCTGGAACAGCATCCGCTGTGACCCCGGACCAAGAAAAGTATTTTGGTTTCTTCTGTGGTGGGTCCCAGACTGTGCCTGGCAGGGCTTGAGCCTGGCTCCTGCCTTAGTGAAGGGAGGGCCAGAAACCCGGGGGTGCCATGTGCTGCCCTGAAGTGGAAACCTGTGGTGATCTCTGTGCCGGTGTCCATGAGAGCCACTGGGCTTTGAGTCCCAGCTTCGCCACCTCCCAGCCTTGTGACCTTGGGAAAGGCACTTCACTGAGCCTCATTTCATAATGTGAAGAACAGGGGCCTAGCAGTCCCTAACGCACAGGGCTATTAGAAAAGCCATTGAGATATGGTGGGGGGCCACGGCACACAGTACATACAACCTACCTTCCCTTTGTGGTGGAAGTGGGAGTTACGATTTCCTGGGCAATTTGGGTCCTGTCAGCCTAATTTTTGAGCCCTGAAAGGCTGACAGGACCCAGGGTGAGAATGGGACGGTGTGTCTCCCTGCATCTGCCTGACCTAGAGCCTGCCCTCAGACATGGCCCTCAGTGCTTCGCTGAGGGAAGGAAGCGCAGCCGATGCCCACCATCTCCTGGGCCTGCCTGGTCTTGCTCCTATAAGCAGCTCTAGGGGAAGGAAGCACCCTTCCCACTCCTGCTTCAAGATGTCTCTGAACATAGCCTCTCGGGTGTTTGTAAGGGACTGCCCACCATGGGTTCACCCCAGGCTGACCAGGCAGCAAGCATCTCCCACCCCGGACACAGTGATCAGTTCAGAGTGAGCCTGTGGCCCAGGCTGATCCAAATGAGCCTCTTTGTCAGGGCTTTTGCTGGGATGCTGTGAAGGAGGAGCCTTCTTCTCACTGTGGCTGGCTGAGCTGAGGGAATGGAGCCTGGGACCAGGCAGGGGCAGGGTGGGGAGAGTGGCACATGGAGAGAACCTGTTTGAGAGCAACGTCCATATAGAAGAATATAAAGCCAGTAGCTGGAGAAACCACCAGATCTAGGTGAACCCCTGGGTACAGCCATGCCCCAAGTCCCTGGACTTTAATTACAGGAACCCATGTGTTCCCTTTTTAACTTAAGTAAGTTAAAATTAACTTGTGACCCATGAGCTGGCAAAGGAACTAGATAATTACTGCTCTGCCTGTCCCAGAGCATTAGATGAGACAATGACTATGAAAGCCCTAGGTTCTATGAGGGACTGGTATTCTTATGATCACTGGCAGCAAGAGGATGAGGCTGGAGTCTCACCTTTATCACTTACTAGAATAATAGTGATCTTGAGTACCTTACTTTACCTCTCTGATCCCCAATTTATTTACCTGTAAAATGGGATGATAATATTCCCAATGGATATGAGAATTAAATGAAGTATGACTTATAAAGTACTTGGCCTGGTGCCTGGCATGTGGTAAGAGCTTGATACAATATAGCCATTGTTTAATAACAAATGATAATAGTGTGGTGACAACAACCACTCCTGAAAATAGTAGTCATAGTAGTAAATACAGTGACTACCAAGAGCTGTGACTCCAGCCTGCAGACTTGCCAGGCCCAGAGCTGGGAAACCCGGCTTTCCCCAGGCCCTCCCCAATCTATCTTTGGCAGTTGCTGCCTTTGGCCAGAGTGGCACAAAGTCTGGGGCACCTCTTTTCTCCAAGGTGCCACCTTGGACACTTAATTGGAGGCCTGCTTGCTTGCTTTTCAGGCCAAGGACCCCAGCCTCAGACCAGCAGCAGGGCTGGGCCTTTAACACCAGGCTCTAAAGCCAGGGTTCCTTCACCACCGGGACCAGCAGGTGACAGAAGGGCCCTGCAGCTGCCACCAGTCTGCTCCTGCTGGACCCATTTTCCTTAATAAGAGCTCCCTGACCTCTGTGGGAGCCACAAAGTTTGCCATAATCAGCAATCAAAAATACAGGATGCTCAGTTAAATTTGAATTTCAGGAAAACTATAGTTATTAGATTTATATATGCCAAATATTACATGAACAAATTTCTACTAAAAAATGAATTTGTCATTTATCTGAAATTCACGTTTACCCTGGCAGCCTGTATTCTATCTGGCACCCTTAGGAACCGTGTCCCTTCCACCTGGAAACACGTGATTCCACTGGGGACCAGCTGGCCTCCAGTGTGGGCAGGGTCTGACCAATGCAAGCAGCCCACACAGCTGGCTGCACTGACTGGTTCAGAGGCAGGCATATGACCCAATCAGTGACCAATGAGTCTGCCTGGGAGCTTGCGGCGACAGCCGGGGAGGAGGGGAGCTCTCCCAGCCGTGTTTGCTGAGTTTGGAGTTGATCTTCTCGGCTGCGATGTGGCCACAGCCTACCTGGGAAAGCAGAGACAGACCAAGGCATCTTGTCAGCTGCTGGAGTCTCAGGCAGCCAGAGGGTTCTTCCTCCCCTCTCTGCCTTCCTCACTCTCTGTCCTCACCACCCAAAGAAGCAAGTTGGGTGGCATTAAGAAAGTCATAAAGCCACTGCTTTGGGGACAACTGGACAGGGACTTTGTCCCCCGCGTGGGGCCTTTCCTTGGCCAGGCCCTGCTCTCAAGCCAGCATGGATGTCCTTGCACTCCAGAAACGCATGAGGGCACTTTGGCTGCCCCATTAGATGAAGAACAAAGCTCGACTCAGTGTTTTCTACTTTTATTTTCTAGAATAAAACATGTACCGCCTGGCAGCCTCCCACCCCCGCCTGATGCTCTCCCTGCTCAGCACAACCAGTGCCCTCATGAGTCCCATCCACAGAGGCCAGCCAAGGCCAGGAAGGAAAAGACCACAGGCCTGGGGACTGAACAAGCATTATGTGCCTGATTTTTCATCTCTGCAGCAGATAGTGACTGGCACTGGACGGGAATAGCCTGCCCCAAGGGGAGGGTGCTCTTGGGTCTCCAGGGGCTGGCTCGGGATATCCCAGGCCAAGGCTCAGGTTGGGTTGGGGGTGGGCATAAATCAAATGAGGACACAATCCCCATATTTGTACCAGCACTGTGACCCTATGGAGCCCATAGTCTGGGATTAGCTAGGAGCTACTGGCCTCTCTAGAGAGACATGGACTCTGGACTGGGGTGCCTATCATCCCAGCCCTTGGGAGAGAGTGCAATAAAGTGAGGCCCTGGGCACTGGCCTCGCTTCTCAGGTCTGAGCTCTTCGGCTGCTCAGGGTGGGCAGGGACAGGGTCTAGATGGCATCGTCCTCACTGTCAGACTCGATGTCCAATGGCTGCAGACGTAGGGAGTCATAGTTGGGGGGTGGGGTGCCTGGGATGGGCAAGGTCTGCTCATTGGGGTAGGCCCCAGGGTTGGGGCCATGGTTGACTGTGTCAGACTGGAAGGCAAAGTTGGTGTGAGCCTCTACCAGCTCAGCCACGGTGGGTGGTGGGCCGGCGTAGCAAGCCTGAGACCGTCTCTGCCGTAGGCTCTTGGAGAAGGCCACCAGCTTGATGACGGTGATCCAAACAAAGTCGATGATGATCTCTGCAAACTCGATGAGGCACAGCACTGAGCCTCCCATCCAGAAGCCAAACTGGCCACCCAGATTTGAGAGCAACCAGACAATCTGTGGAGAGCAGGCAGCTAAGACTCTGGTAGAGATGGGAGTCAGGCAACAAGTTCCTGCCTGAAACCCAGCCTCCTGGATTCCTGTGAGGTGTATTGATTACTGGGAAGGGGAAAGGGTGACCATCTCAACCCAGGGAAACAATGTGTTAGAGGCCTTCCTAATTTGTCTGTGGGGCTGGGGACCCTCCTGCCCCTCAGGGTGCAAGGTAAAGGTGTCAGGAGCCCCCAAACTCACATTATTAGCTGCCGACTCCTCAATGGTACGATAGTTGAATTCTTGGAAGAAGATGTTGAGCTTCACAATTCCCTTCCTGCAGGAAGCAGCAAGGACTGATGCCCTTTGCCCCCCCCCCACACACACACAGAAAAGGCAACAGAGGGGCTGCCCCAACCCTCCTCTGCTTGAGCTTCTCACAGACGCACTGCCATGGGTGGTGAGGTCCAAACAAGAGCCAACAGTGCTGCCCTTCTTGGCTGCTGTGTGCTTTGGGCCACAAAGGGCATCTGCCTAGTACCCATCCTGTGGGCCCCTTTCTGAACCAGCTCCCTAAGGGATACTCTGGCCAGAGACAGCCCCTGAGCACTCCCCCCACCACCAGGATGGTCCAGCCCATAAGCGGTAGACTCTGCAGAGAGTCCTAAGCTTGACCCTCTGGCAGGAAACCTGTGGCAGAGAGAAGAGTGGCCAAGTGGGCTTCCCTCTTATATCTGATGGTCCTCAGAAAGGCTAAGCTCTCTCATGTCTGGGCTTCTGCATGGACATTTTTGTCTATTTGCTTTGAACAATTCTTACACTTGGAGAGCTAGCTCAAGTGCCACCTCCCTTATGTCTTTGGCAGATGGTGTCTCCTTCCTGCTATGCTTCCACAGGGAGGGTCTGCTACAGATTTGCATCACCATAAACTCTGATCTCATCTCTCTATCTTGTAGATTCAGGTTTTCTGACAGTGTGGACCTTGTGTCTTTGTGCTCAGTGTATGTTTGTTGTGAATAAATGGAAAGATGAATGAATAGAGGATGGGTAGGTGGATGGATGAGTGGAATAATGGAAGGATGGATAATGGAGGGATAAATGGGTGGAAGATTAGAAAGATAGATGATGTTTGGATGGATGGATGAATAGGTGGATGGGTAGAAGACTTGACAGGATGGATGGGTGGATGAATAGATAGAAGATTGGAAGGATGGATGATGGATAGAAGGATGGATGGATGGATGGATGGATGGATGGATGGATGGATGGGTGTATGAACAGGTGATAGATAGAGGACAGGCTCTCCTTTAGGAAGTGGTAGACCTGTGTCCCTGTGGCTGGCTCCTCTTTCACTCCCAGTGCTTCCTCTTCCAGGCTTGCTCCTGGATCTGACCACTGTGAGAAAGTGTCTGAGGAGCTGCACTATGTCCAAACTCCTCTCCTGTGACTCTCGTTCCTGCCTTTTTCTTCCTTCCTCAGCCCTGCCCTGAACTCCAGGCTTACCTGCTCAAAGTGATATTGGTGCTTTGGTCCCGCTCCTGAGACAGGACATGGAAAATCCAGTCCTGCAACCCAAGAAGGCAGTTAAAAAAAATGGCATCTGCTGTATTCCCTCCCAACCATGGACCCTGCTCCCTTTGGGGGACAGACTACAGCCCTGTATCTTCCTGAAGCCCTCTGGGGACCATGTGTTGGGATGGGAAAGAGAAGGAAGGTAATAGTGTACAATGTGGCCGCTCTTATGGGGAGAAGGCACTCAAGTCTCCAGACTCTTCCCATACGGCTCAGCCACCCTCTGCTAGTTCTTTCCCACCTCTGGCCCTTGCTCTGCCTGGGCCCTCCTCCGCAACCCTACCCAGGGTTGGCTCAGCTCTATCCTCTGATTTCAGCAAAAGTGTCACAATTTTGGGGAGTCCTTCCCCCAGTTACTCTCATCATCTGGTTTACTTCCTACACAATCATTATCACACTTTGAAATGATCTTGTTTCTCTGTAGGCTGTCTCTCTGACTAGAATGTAAGCACTGTAAGGACAAAGGACTATGTCTGTCTGGTTCGCTGCTGTGTCCCCAGCACAGTGCCTAGGGGTGGAAGGAAAGGGGGAGAGAAGAGGGAGGAAGGAGCACCCTCTCCAAAGTCTCAAGCAGCCTGCAGACCCAGGCCCAGAACAGGCCCCAGCCCAAGGATAGGTGGCTAGGAGCTTGGCCACACCACTACCTCACCTCAGAGGCTTCAGAAGGCCAGTCGGCCATCGAGATGGTCATCTTGTACTGGGTGTCACTGGAAGAGAGAAGGCAGGCCTGTGGCTGTCCCACCCTGCAGTGTGCATACCGCCCTGCTCCACAGACCCCGCTGAGCCCATGCTGCACTCACTTGCAGGACTCCTTGCACATCTTGATGCAGGTCTCCCTCTGGCCCAAGCTCCTGCGCAGCTCTGAGTAGCAATAAACTGAGCAGGAGAGGGGTGGGGCAGAGAATTTGAGCTTTTGAGCCTTTGAGCTTCTGGCTGCCCTCTGCCCTCCTGGCCCTGGGCCACCTAAGGTCTCTGACTGGGGTGGCGGGTGTGAGGGGGAGAATTGTCTCAATCCGAAGCCCCTGTCATTGAGAACCATCCATCCCTCCACCCCCATCTTGTGCCATTTTGCCTCGGCCTGGCCTGGGGGATCCTCTCCCCAAACATCCAGGCTCAGCTCAGCAGGGTCAAGGCAGCTTCCTTTTGCTTGTCATCCTCATTCCTAGTAGGGACCAGAGTGACAGGGTTGTGTTGAAGGGGTGGGTGGTTACAAGAGATACAGTTTTTCCCTCTTGTTCTCCACATTTTCCTGGTTTGAAGAAGTGGTAGAACTCTCTCTGTTGCGTACAACATCCTTGGGTGTTTGGACTCTGGGCCATTAGGACTCCAGCTCAATGTGAGCCCTGCAGGGGCCTCTCCTCCTACTGTGGCTTCAGGTTTCGAGACCTTGGAGGCCACCTCCCTCTCCCCTCGCCCCAGCACACCACAGAGAGACCAGGTGAGCTCACACAGGCACGGACACAGTGCTGAGGCTGATACATGTGGCCTTGTGCATGCACACACACTCATATGTACACACAAACCAGTGGGCACAAACGCAGACAATGGAGGCATGGACTAGTCCATGAACACAGGTTCAGACGGGCACTGCAGTCCTGAGTGCGGCACCTCATCGAGGCACGCACACATACATGCCCTTTCACACGTGTGTGTGGGAAAACACAAATGCACGTACATGTGTGCCCTCACTAGAGTTGCATACCCAGGCCCACACAGGTGAGGGTGTTTACACATGGCACACAGGCAGAATCACTCCCACACAGGTGCAGTTTAAGTGTACAAGTCATGGAGTCAAAGTGTGAATGGGAGCTGGGTTCTCCTGAGAGGGGTGCCTGGGAGGGAGGGGCTGTGGACTGTGCATGTGGCTGAGCAAGCCCGGGTACACCCCTGGGCCCTGTTGAGGGCATGGAACCACGCCTCTCCCTGGCAGGCAGAGCCTTGGTGGATAGTGGCAGGCCGGTTAGGGTGCCAATGGCTGGTCCCACTCACCCCAGTCAGGGAACTCCTGGTTGTTGCAGTACTTCTTTCCCTGGGGCAGCGGGTATAGGTAGTGGCCACAGCTGCAGTTATGGATCATGTGCTCTTGGAAGCATGAGCGAATACAGGCCTGGGACAGGGGGCAGGGAGACCACACACATAGACCAGTGATGCCCCTCCCCGGCCCCAGCACGGGGCCCAGGGTCCTTAGTTCCCTGGGCCCAGGGAGCTGGAGGGGCCAGAAGAGGTGTCCCTCCAGTTGAGAAGTGGTGCTGAGGTGACCAGGGTGCATCTCCGGTCCTTCCCTCTACCTGTTCCTTGCAGAGAGATTCAGACCAGGTCCCACTGTTCAGATGACTTGGGAAGGGGTGGCTTGTTCCAAATTCTAAAGCTAGCACTTGGATAAAGAGCATCTGTTTCGAGCCCTTTACACAGAAAGGCCCAGGAGGGCAGTTCTGAGGGAGTCGGGCAGGCTGGCTCCAAGTGCCTTTGTCCTGGAGGGACCCACTCAGGGACTGCAAGGAGAGGCTGATTCCTGAAAGGCCAGTGCTGACAGAAGAGGACGAGAGCGGCAGCGCGTCCTCTGGGAGGGGTGCCTGGGAGAAGAGTGGGCTCAGCACCCTGGGCATGCAGGTGATGAATTCCTGTTCATACTGTCTTTTCAGGTCATTCCAACCTGTTTTCAGTCCACTCAGAGACCTACTATGTGTGTGGCAGCCAGTTATTAACCTCGGGGTCTCAGTTTACTCATGGCAGAACGGGGCGACAGTTGCCCTGTTGGCTGAGGTTGGAAGGGCTAGGCTTGGCCTCTGTAAGTGCTTGGTCTGGAGCAAGAAATCAGGTGGCAGGCAGAGGACATGCACAGCCGGGAAGAGCAGAGCTGGGGAGGAAGGCCAGGGAGTTGACGAGGAGCTCGGACTTCGGGCAAGTATACTGGGTTCTTCCAGACCTCTTGTCTCAACTGGGAAGCAGGTGTCCCCTGCAGCCCCATGACTGAGGCTGGGGTAGGGCAGGGTGGGGTGGACAGAGCACGTGACCAGGGCCTAGGTCTTTGCCAAGGTCTCTGGCCAGAGTGGTTATTGCACTGAAAGAAGCAAGAGGTTTTCCTGGAAAGGGGTCTTTGGTGGCTGGGGCCTGATGCTTCTGTGTCCTCCTCCTTTCTCCCCACCTCCCTACACTGTCCCCCGAGAAAAGGTGACCAAACCAGCCGGGCAATGTGTGGGTGGATGGAGTCAGCTGGATGGGGTGAGCAGGCAGGTGGGCATGGGGGAGGGTTTTCCTGTGACTAAGGCAAAAGGGAGGGCCACCCCGCGATTGCAGCACTTGGACATGGAGGGGGGCCCTGGGCTGTCCCCTTTTTGTGCCTCAGTTCTTATATCTGCCAAGGCAGACTGGACTGGGAGAGGAGTCTGTCCCTGTCACTGAGGCTGGGTCTGGGGACATGCCCCCTGGCTGCAGCAAAGAGGTGTGAGGCCAGACACAAAGAGGGACTTTGCCAATAAACTGACTTCCCGAGTAAATCGCCTTTTGAGGACCATTTCTCCCAGAGACCTAAGCCTCGGGCCGGATGACACAGATGGGGTGCTACGGGCACAAGGCCTGCACTGTCACCCTACCTGGATCGAGTAGGTGGTGTTGTAGTCCCTGTAGAGGTTTTGGATGGGGACGTCAGAGCCGTTCACAGTGCACTGGCTGTAGGGTTTGCCCTTTCTCTCCAGTTTGTCCTATGTCCAGAAAGGGTGTTTGTGGGACCCCTGGTCAACCCTAGGAAACTCCTCTGCCCCTGCCTCCCATGGAGCATGTGGGTCTAGGAGTTCTGAAAGGGGATGGAGAGCAGTAGGCCCCAGCAGGTGCCGGGGTGCTTGTCTCCCCCCAGAGTGTGTCTGCCCGGGCGGGGTCCAGCCAGAGGGCAGGGCAGGAGTGGACCGTGAGGGAAGGCCAGGGCTTCAAGAGGCCTAATCCCCTCCTCTCAGGCCACGGTAAGGTGGTGCTAGGCAGGTCAGCTTCCACCCTCACCCCCCTCGGGCTTCCCTGGGGCTGCGACCATACCACCAGCACCCCGATGGATGTCTCCGTCCCTGACATGGCATAGATGCCCTCGTCTTTGACGAAGGGGTATGACCTCTGCTCATGCAGCAGCAGCCGGGCCCCGGCCGTGGACGTGAGGAAGGGCACATAATCTTCCTGGCCTATGTCCAGGATCAACTTCAGGCCTGCGGGGAAGGGACACCAAGGCCTGTCTGAACTCACTCCCCGAAGCTGAAGGGAGACCCACGCCCCACTTGTCCACACCCCCTCCATCCAAGGGGTCCCCGAGGGCCTGCCCAAGAAGTTGGCTCCATTTTGTGAAAACTGGAACCCTTGTCTTCTCTATGGCCCCATCCTAGTCCACGCTACCCTCACCTCTGCCCAGGGCTCCTCTTGCTTCCCCAGCCCACACAGCAGGTAGATCTAGGGACATGCACCATGTGGCTCTACCTCACCTCACACGGGTCCTTGTTCTCTCCATTCAATCCCCCTTAGCTCCTGTGCACCTTCCTGATGCTGGACCTTCGGGAATGCTCTTTCCACCCTCACACTTCACCTAGGAAATCCTGCTCTTCCTGCAGATCTCAGCCCAGTGTCACTTCCTCCAGAAGCCTCCCCTGACTACCTAAATTAGGTCTCAGGGTCTTTGTTATACCCTCTCCCAGCTCCGGGACTTTCCTTCCTAGAACCTGCCTCACTCATGTGACTGACTCTTCTTTTCTTGTCTCTCTTTCTTCCCAACTCAACTGTTCTGTTATGGAGGGCAGAGACCACACCTGATATTTTGTGCACCATAGGACTATGCTAGGTGCTTAGGATAGTAAGGCTGGTGTTTCTTTAGCATTTGCTATATGCTGGGCTAAGTGATTTTTTATACACAATCTCACTGGTGCTCTGAAGATACATATGAGGTAGGTACTGTTATCGTCCCCAGCTTCCAGATGAGGAAACTGAGGCGCAGAGAGGTGAAGGGACTTGTCTGAGGTCACCCAGTGAGAAAGTGGGGTTGCTGAGGTCCTAATACAGGTAGCTGGGCTTCTTATTTCTAATCTGCTGCCCCTTATGGGAGCTGGTCCGCACCTCTCTGAGGCACAGTGTGTTTAGGGGCACAGGGCTGGGGGAAGGGCAGTAAGCCCACTCTGTCCCCTTGACCAGGAGCCCCTGATGGCTACTGAATGACAACCTGCCTCTTGTTGGTTGGTTGGGGCAGGCTGACCCTGAGAGGGGAGGAAGGCTTTGCTCCTACCTGTGCTCATAGCCTGAAAGCCACAGACATCCTGAGTCCACCAGCTTGTCCCTGAGACAGGCCAACATAGCTGCCTCTGTCACTGACCACCTCCCACCTCCTCATGCCCACCTGCTCTTTTTGTTCTCTCTTGGTCTGTGTGATTTGCTCTATGAACTGCATAGGGATGAGCCTGAGTCAGGGCTGCCATGTGTTAGCCAGCTGGTCTTGGGCGAGTTACTAAAACTCCTCAGGATCCGGCACATACTGAGAATTACTGCTTGCAGGGCACTGTGGTAAGCAGTTCACCTCACCTGACTTGCGTCTCAGTGACTCAAGTGAGGTATACACTGTATTCCATGCTACTGTAGGCCACCTTTGAATGGGGAAATCAAGGCTCTGAAAAGTTAGATCTTGAGCTCAGGATCACCCACCAAGTAAATGAATGGTGGAGCTGGGATTTCATCAGACATACGAGCTTGAGCCCTAACCACTACACTCTACTGCTCTGAATTCTCATTTTGCTCATTCTCAAAGTGGATACATGGTCGCTACCCCAGGGATTTACAGGTGTGGGATAAGAAAATGGCTGAGAAGACCCCTGGGCCAGCCTCCCTGCACACAGGACGGGCTTCCCAAGGTTGCTCTTCCTCATGCCGAGTCTATCTACTCCAGATCCTACCCTTCAATGCTTGATGGTAATTTGGTCTTTCAGTCCCACATGGTGGGGAGGTTAAAGCCTTATGGTTCTGGCCCCAGGAGGAATCAAAACTTACCGAACTCAACTCCAGGGTTGGCAGAAGGGAGTGCTTTCTCGGTCATGCCCCAGTTGAAGATGTAACAGTTGCCATAATCAGGGTGGAAGAGGGAGGTGAAGTTCCTGAAAGAAATACTAGCAGCTGCAGAGCAGGGCCCAACGTGGCCAGTGCCCCAACCCCGACTGGGCACTGTCCAGGGCTCATGGTGGGGACAGCGGGCAGCTGCTCCCTGCCCTTCGCTTACTGCTCAGAGGGCCCAGAAAGGGACAGGTGAGCAACAGGTCATCTGTCCATCCCTTGTACCTGAGCACAAGCCAGAGAGATTCCCAGACTCCCTTGGGAAAGAGGGGAGAAGAGAGTCTCTCTGGGGTTGGGCTCAGGCTTTCTGTCTTAGCCAGGAATTACGAAAAAGAAGTTACTTTCATGTTTTTGAGGCAGTGTAGTAAGAAGCTAGGGAAATTCCTTGACAGGTGGAATAAGGGAAACCGAGACAAAATAATTAAACAAGGCCAGACAGTTTGAGCAATTGACAGCCAGCTAGTGAATCACACTTTTTTTTTCTTCCTTAACCAAGGACACTTAGGAGCAAATGGTTTACACATTCCAGACTGACCTCAGTGCCTCTTTCTTGATGACATTTTTTAAAAATGGAATGAACCAGAAAATAACCCTGGCCCCTCTATACACACATTTTGATGAATCAAATATTGAAGGACACACCTGGAAAGCTGATGAGTGTTCTGTTAAGACCCTCCCCTGAGGCCTCCCCTAGGATTCCTGTCCGCCAAAGAAAGATAAAAAGCCTCAAGACAAAAAGCTCATGGTGTTCTGGCTAGGGCACACCCACGGCTTGTATCTCTGCTCTCTTTCTCCTGAACTCTAAGGGTCCCTGTGGGTCTTGCAACCAGGGGATCTGTGGGCAGTGGCAGCTCATTCCAGGTTAACCCCCTGAACTTGTCTTCAAGGCCCTCTTTTTTCTCTGACTTCCCAGGGAGCTGTCAGCAACTAGACCTTGGCTCAGTTCTTTCCTTTATGTTTCTAAAAAGTCAAAACAGCCCCCACCTTGGCTCTCTCCTGTTTCTTCTTCTATCCTAAGTCCTTCCTTTGTCTGACTGTCTCCGGTTTAATACACTCTCAAAATCACCTGGACTCATGAAATCTTTCCTGCATGGAGTCAAGGACCCGCACACTACTGGCCAGCCAGAGGCAGACCTGCTCCAGGCCAGGTCCCCATCTGGTGACATTTTCATGTCTCATCTACAGAGTCTTGTAAACCATTTAGTAGGTTAAACTGTGCCCCCCAAAAGATATGTCCATGTCCTAAGGCCAGAGACCTGTGAATGTGAACTTATTTGGAAAAGGAGTCTTTGAAGATGTAATTAAGAATCTTGAGACGAGATCAGCCTGGAATATCTGGGTGGTCCTAAATCCAATCACAATTATTCTTACAAGAGACAGGAGAAGAGAAGATACTGATGCAGAGAAGCCCTGTGAAGATGAAGCAGAGGTTGGGGTGATGCAGCCCCCGCCCAGGAATGCCTGCAGCCCTGGGCAGCTGGGAGAGGCAGGAAGGACCCTCCTTGGAGCCTTTGGAGGGAGGCCTCGTCCTGTGACACCTAGATTTTGGACTTCTTGCCTCCTCCGTGAAGAAACACATTTCTGTTGTTTTAAGCCACTCTCTCTGGCAGAATCCAGAGAGGTGGCCTGGACAACCTTGGGAAGCCAGATAAAAAGGGCAGTGGACTGGGATGCAGGGCCAGAGAGGGGCTGTGAATCAGGAGAGCGTCTAAGCAGAGGCAGAGGAAAGGGAACAGTGAAACGAGGCATGAAAATGACCCTCTATGGGGTCTTGTCTCATGCCATGGGAATGTTTCCTAAGGAAATAATTTAACAAGAAGAAATGTTTCCATAAAGGTGCTCATGGAAGTAGAGATAATGTAGTTCCAATTTTGTTAAATTTCTTTCGGATATGGAATATTTCAAACATTTAAAAGTGCAGAGACAAAGCCCACCGCCAGCTTCAACAGCTGCCACATCCTGGCCAGTCACATTTTATCTCTACTTGGCCTCCACTCTCCTTTCCGTATTATTTTGAAGCAAATATCAGACATCGTAACTTTATCTGTAAACACTTCATATGGATTTCTAAAAGAAAAGAACTAAAAAACAATGCTACTACTATGATAAAAATAACTAACAAAAATTTCTTCGTATTATTAAATATTCAGTTCAAAGTTCCAGTTGTCTCATAAGTGCCAATTTTGTTTTTTACGGTTTATTTGTTTAAATTGGAGTCCAAATAATGTTAACATGTGATTGGCTGATATGTCTTTTAAGACTCTTAATCTGTGGCTCCCTCCACCTGACATTTTATTTTTTTCTTACAATATAGCTGTAAAAAAAGCTCTGGTTTGATCCAGTTAACAACTGAAGAGGGTGTGATACAGTCAGGAAACCAGGATTTCGCTTGCTGACAAATGACTGGCTTTGGCAGGAGCAGTGGGGTGACCGCTGCTGTGCGTCTCTGGCCAGCAGAGCACAGGCCGATGAGCAAGTGGCCTTGCCAAAAACACCAGCCCTGACCTGAGCATCCGTCTCTGACAACCACTTACAACAAATAATAGAGACTGAGGAACAAGGTTCAGAAACACCACAGAGAGTCAGTCAATCTGCAAAATCCAGACCGTGGGGAACTCAATAAGATAATCCAATTCATTCAACAAATAAACTGTGGGAGAAGAAAAGGGAGGCACCTCTAGATTAAAAGAAAAGTGAAAGACCTGGGTTACAATCACAATGTGTGGACTGTAACTGGATCCTGATTCCAACAAGCAAACAAACAAAAAATATGACATTTATGAGGGTAAATGCAACTAAACGGTTGATGATATTGAAGAATTATTGCTAATTTTTTCAGGTGGGATACAGACAGAAGAATAGAAGCGTGGGAGGCACTGCAGCGGCGGGAGAGCGTGAGCCCTGCAGCCCACCTGGAGCTGGTGGTTGGGTCCATGTGAGATCGCCGTGCTCTGTTCATCTATGTCTATGTTCTCCAGTTTCCAGAGAGTATAGAAATTGCTTTAAAAGGTCTTTGGATGCTTTTATACTGTCTTCCTTATTTTATTAAAACAGGAAAGAATGGGGCTCAGTGCATCCAATGTACAGACACATCAGCTGAAGTGCAGACTTGTCCTCTAAGTCTTACATTCCACAGCAGATGTTTCCACTGCTTAAAAAAAAAAAAAAATCAAAATCTCTATTTTCTTGTGCAAATGGGCTTTTTGAGGGAATTTTAAAGCGCAGTAAATGATTTTTTAGAGAAATGTTATTGATTTTTAGAGAGAGAAGGGAGAGAGAGAGAGAAAGAGAGACATCAATTTGTTCTACTTATTTATGCATTCATTGGTGGCTTCTTGAATATGCCCTGACCCGGGATTGAACTAACTTTGGCATATCAAGATGATGCTCCAACCCACTGAGCAACCCGGCCAGGACTCCACTGCTTACTTTTTGATAGCATGCACCAAAATCTGAAACTGTCTTCTATTATTTACTTGCTTGTTTATAGCTGTCCCCTGCTTTAGAACATAAGCCCAGTGAGAACAGCCCTCATATCTGTCTTGAGGGAGAAAGAATTTAGAGGCTAAAAAGCCCAGGCCTAGGAGCCAGCCTGCCTAAGTTCAAATTCTGGCTCTGTCACTGACTAGCTGGTAAACTTGGAGAAATTACTTTGCCTCTCTTACCCTCACGTGTCTCACCTGTAACACAGGTAATAATAACAGCACCCACCCAGATGACCGAGGTGAGGTTTGGATGTCAAGCATACTGGGGTATTCAGCAGATATTGGCTGCCAGCGCTCAGTGCTCTCTCCTCAGAGCCTGACACACAGGAGACAGACACTCAGTAAATGTTTGTTAATATTACAAATTATACACGATAGGGCATCTGCAGAGGTAAGCATGATGATCAACACTGGATTTCCCCGGGGATGGGGTGTGCAGTGGGTCAGGAGCAGGTTCTTGGTGGAGGTGAGGCCTGAGGTGAGACTTTCAGGATGAGGGAGAGGTGGCTGAGCCTGGGGAGTGGAAAGGAGAAAGGGCACACCAGGCAGGGAGCACAGCATGGGCAAAGGCCTGGAGTGAAAATACAGCTTTGGGCGGACACTGTGGAGTCTGCCTCCTGTGTGGGTTCAGGGCTGTGGCCACAGGAAAGGAACAGAGTGGGGCAAACCAGCTAAAGTCAGTCCCTGCTCTGGAGGGCCAGACCCCACCCCAGGGGCTCAGGGACACAGTGTTCTAAACACGCTGTCTCAGGCATCTACAGTGCAAGAGCAGGAGGCTGATCAGGGTGTGGCTGGATCCCTTCATGCCCAGGCTACACTCCTGGTCTCCCTGTACCTACTTGCCCACTATTTGCTTGTTGATAGTTCTCTTTCCCCAGAGAGGCTGTTCCCAGTACTAGCCACTTCCAGCTCCAGAAACAGGTGTTTCCCTCCCAAACCTTTCCTGGGATAGGGCCAGGCATGTAGACAGAGACCAACAGCCTCCGGAGGAGACCAGGAAACAGAGAATACTACCAGGAAGCAGGATAACAATGGTGGTACTATGTGCCAGGGGTCAGGGCAAGCTTCCCAGGGAAGAAACTAGCTAGCCAGTCTCTGATGTTGTAGCAGTAGTAGTAATAATAATAGTAATAATAATAACAATACTGATTATGTCTAGGTCTTGGTTTCTGAATGCCATTCTCCAATTAAAGGAACCAGGGGTCCTCAAAGCAGTGGCTGATTCTGGGCCCAGGGCACCTCATAGTGCCAGAGAGTAAGGAGTACTCAAAAATAAATGAGAATTCAAGATGGCGGAGGAGTGAGTGGAAGTCACACTGACCTCCTCCCAGCACAAATCTGGAATTACAACCAAATTGTGGAGAAACCACCTGGAACAAACAACTGAACAATAGCAAGAGAGGAAACTTAAAACCTCGGATGGACACAGGAATTGGCTTTAATACAACCTGACTGGTAAGGAGTGCGAGAGAGACTCAAGAAGGCAGGCTGGGTGCCCATGGGCGGCAGCGCCAGAGGGATATTTAAATGGACAATTGGATCCTCCTGAGAAGAGTGGG